TTTTCATCTCAAGAACACTTAGTTTTCTCACTTCTGAAATGCAGTGGATTTCCAAAAGATTGGAAACTAATTTGCTGATATTGAGGAACAAGATTTCCTGTGTTGAGGACTGATTTTTAAAGGAGTTAAGAGTTATATAGAAGGTGTGTTAGGTTGCCACCTAGTGGTATTTTTGTTTTGACTCCTTTAAAAGTATTTTCGCGATTGCCTTCTTGGACTTAATACTTTCTAGACATATAGGACTACAAATCCCAATCCGACAACTAGGGAATATGGGAGGTATACTCCAATGCTTCTGGAAAATGCTACCTTGGGAAAGGCTAAATTGAAGCATAGCTTTGAATTAAATTAAGTATTAAATCAAGTTTAGCCACTGATCCCGCATCTTTCCTGTCTTTGTTCGCATCAACGTGTGCTGTTTGCCTATTCTTCAAATGCCTTGGATTGGGAAAGGTGAATAAAGAATAGTTCATTTGTTCCAGAAAGAAGAACCATGACAATGAGTTTTTGTTGACTAATAATAATAATGGTGCTCCATGCAGTCATGCTGGCCACATGACCTTGGAGGGTGTCTGTGGACAACTCCAGCTCTTCGGCTTAGAAATGGAGATGAGCACCACCACCCAGAGTCAGACATGACTTGACTTAATGTCAGGGGAAACCTTTACCTAATAGTAATAATGTGGCTACGAGAATCCAGTGGTGAATATTAAGTGCGGAATTCTTTATTTATCTGTATGAGAACACAAAGAAAGATGCAGAAAAAAAAAGTAAAAAAAATTCTCCTTGCGTCTACAATTTTGACTATATTCAATCTTGAACAACATTTATTAAACCAAGCTTGTGAAGTTACAGATTCTGAGAAGGTCCTTTCTTGCCTCCGAAGAATCAAATGTTCTAGACATTAGAAAAGGAATATCTTTTCATAACATCGTTTTCAGTATTTTTTGTGTGTTTAAAACGGGCATTCTGTTGCAATGCTTAAGAGATATACCTGTGTTATACTACACAAGATTGCAGGATACATGGAAAGGCACGTAGAAATTATGATAATATACAAAACAAAGAAGTTATAAAGTTCTCACTCAACAGGTTGTTTATTCTTGATATACTCTACCCTTATGTAGTGAAGACAGCTGTCAGCCTGAAGATTTCAAGGAAACATATAATTTCATGTTGCATCCGAATGGCATTGTTACAAAGAAACAGAATACTAGATTACATGCACCCATACCTACCTTGATCACTTGTGTCAAGAATTCTCTGGATGACTATCTTCCTACCAAATCTTCACCTCTCAAGAGATGTCTGCTTTTTTACCGTTTTCATAGTGGAAGTATCATTCTTCTCATTCATATGCGCTGCTTTTTCACACATCCCTTCCCATAAACTTAGAAGAAAAAAATATGCTGTACAGAAGTTGTTTCGTTAAAGAGAAATATTTATTCATTCATCTACTACATTAGTTTCTCCCCGCCTCCCAACCTCTTTTCATGAATTTATGGCACCTCTCCCTTCTTAGGAACCATGTAGATAGGAGATAGAACATTTGGCCCAACCTCATTCAGCACCCCATCTACACTTACCAATTAATACAATTCAAAGTAAGCGTCAAACTGCAGCGGCCAGACAATAGACTCCTACAAAAACACATTAAAGAAAGTTCTTAATGTGTATCACTGCTTTATGGTTTGTGTGATCACTATCTGGGCCTAAAGCTGGTTCCAGTGAAACCATATTCTTCAATAACAGTTTGAAATGGCATTAAATGGTAAGTGCAAATGGCCCCTTAGTGAGGACTACAGTAGTCAGGTGCTCAGAAGGCTTTCCTACCACAAAATCAGATATAGGACAGCTGTGGTAGCATAGTGGTTTGCGTGTTGGACTAGGACACTGGCAGACCAGGGTTTGAATCTATTGTGAGAATCCCATAACCCGCCCTGCTAGGCAAAAATGGCCTTATTAAGCCAGAAGCTCGCTGGACCCTACCCTGCCCCATTGACATCAGTGCTAGCATTGCACATGGTGGGTTTGAGACAAGTTCCCACTGATAAGAACTAGACAAAAGAAGGGTGCAGAATAGAGGATACAGACCTTGATGTGAAATTGCCTGATTGTCTTTTAACCAACTCAGCCTGACAGTGATGGAGAGAAGCCCCAAAAGGGTGGCATAACCCTGTGAAACTATAAAAGCAAATGAACTATCACTGCTTGGGATACTGTCATTTTGGAGGCAACACTGGGAAAGTGAAAAGGAGAAACGCACCAAGAGGAAGGTGAGTCAAGTCAAGTAAACCTTTGTCTCAACTGCTTTCCATCTGGAAACCCATATCCTCAAAGTGAAAGATTGTGTGGATTCAGAAAAGTTCTTCACAGTCATTTACGGACCCACCTCCAAGACTCTTCATCTGGAAAACAATCGGTCAGGATGGATAATAATTTAATAATAATTTCTTACCCGCAAACCACAGACCACCTATTACAATGCAGCCTAAGCCCTGCCACATTCACAATGGAGCATCTTTTTATAGCAACACCAGAGGACTGCAAGTGGCCAGTTACTGATTAAAGGACATTTAATAAAATGCCAAGTTTTTTAAAACTTTGTGTTTTCTCAAATACATTGGTTCACTCCTGAAATGATAAATACCTGCATCTCCACATGGCTCAAGGCGGGTTACAAAACAATTAAAATACATAAACATAACATAAACACTACAAATACACACACTAAAATGTACCTCCATAAAAGTTTCTAATGATGAGATTCCTGAATATATTAACAACAACAACAACAATTTGTAACTTGCCCTATCTCCACAAGGGGGAATTTAACTGCCAAAATAGAATGGGGCTGCATTTCATCTAGGGCCTACCTTCACTATGAACTATCCCTCCACCGTCCCAAAGCAACAAGAGGCCTTCTGAGTCTTGCCATAGGTGCATATGAGCCTATCCATACAGATTAATAAGGCATTTTACCTCCCTCCTGAAAGCATCGGATCCCTTATGATCTTGGAAACTGAGCAGGGCCAATCTTCATTACTACTTTGATAGGACAGGCTTTTTTTTCTGTGTCAGGAGCAATTTGAGAATTTGCAAGTGAGCTAATTGGCCATCTGCAAGGACACTGCCCAGGTGACATCTGGATGTTTTGATGTTTTACCATCCTTGTGGGAGGCTTCTCTCACGTCCCCACATGGGGAGCTGGAGCTGACAGAGGGAGCTCAACCTGCTCTCCCTGGATTTGAACCTCCAACCTGTCGGTCTTCAGTCCTGCCAGCACAAGAGTTTAACCCATTGTGCCCTCAGGGGCTCCATGGGACAGGCTATATTTTGAAGAAAAGAAGTGACGGCAAAAGTATGATAGCTGGGACCCATGCTACGCTAGTTGCGTAACGCGGCTCTGAATTAAGGAAGGGAAGAGGTGTGCAAGACAGCAGAGATAGTGAGAGACACAGCTGCGTCAAAGTCCTGGGAACATTGCTCGCCAGAAAGGGGGAGAGGAAACATTTCTACCCCGTTTACCATCTTCGTAAGCCATTGTTTATCATTTAACAGTAAATAACTCTAACATTACTTCACTCGCCTTAAGCACTATGCTTGGCTGTTTATTGTCCCCCCTCCCCTTTTCTGACCCGCTTTGTGCACGTCTTCCCTTCATTAATTCTGCACCGCATTGCGCAACCAGCATAGGCTTCCAGCTACTTCTGTACAGTCCCAGCTATCATACTTTTGCCGGTGACAATCTTTTCTTGCGTAGCAGCTTCTGGGAGCTGTAGTAGGCTGTTAGGAATGGTGGGAGTTGAAGTCCATATCACCTGGAGGGCCCAAGTTTGCTCATGCCTACCCTATACACCATAAATAAAGTATTATTATTATTATTATTATTATTATTATAGAAAAACTCACAATTTAAATTCATGGGAATTTATTTGTCGTGTCAGAGCAGCCAGTCCATTATATTACATTTCTAACAGAACAAAGCAAACAAACAGAAAAATACACAACTTGTGAGTTTGGTAGCTGGTTAAATGTCTATTGACCAGTATCTGGCCACTTGGAGTGCTTCTGGTGTTGCTGCAAGAAGGTCCTCCATTGTGCATGTGGCAGGGCTCAGGTTGCATTGCAGCAGGTGGTTAGTGGTTTGCTCCTCTCCACACTCGCATGTCGAGGATTCTACTTTGTAGCCCCATTTCTGAAGGTTGGCTCTGCATCTCGTGGTGCCAGAGCGCAGTCTGTTCAATGCCTTCCAAGTTGCCCAGTCGCCCAATCCCATGAATTGCTGGTCGCTTCTGGCCACAGATGCGACCAGCAATTCATGGGAATGCCATACACCGACACAACCCCCTGAAGACACAACCAATAAAGAACAACACCCACAAAATAGGGAATTCCAGACAGGAAACATTCAGGGCCAGCTAACACCTCCCAACAATGGATCCCCCAGGCTTTGAAGCTGCAATGCTATTCAATGCTAATCAAGGTGGCCAATTGCAACATTCACACTTGCCTCAAGCAGACATGAGTTTTCTCCCCCCTTGGAGATCCCACAGATAGATAATCCTCACTTGCCTAGTTTCCAACAGACTTCACACCCTCTGAGGATGCCTGCCATAGATGTGGGCGAAACGTCAGGAGAGAATGCTTCTGCGACATGGCCAGACAGTCCTGAAAACTGACAGCAACCTAGTGATTCCGGCCATGAAAGCCTTGGACAACACAGGCCATTCGGGGAAGCGTAAGGGCTGCGGCCTCTCCTCCCTCTCTCAGTCCCTTCTCGTGTCTTCAAAGGCCTCTCCTCCACCCTCCTCGCTCCCTTCGACGTCGACAAACCTCCACATTGTTCACCTCCATTCAATAACAACCTTCTCCGTCTCCCATTACATTGAGAAAGCCGAAGAAGCCTTCGGCGCATGCGCACTCCCGCCCCACTCCCCCTCCCTTTCCTTTCGAAGGAAGCTCTCACTTATTTATTTAATTTGCCGGAGCGGAAGTGGGCCAGCAGATTGGCCCTCGGCGCTTTCCGTAGTTCAGGAAGTACCAATTCTCTTCATGCTCGGCGGGGGAGGAAGGCCAAGGCGTGCACCTCTTCTCACGGAGCCTGACCTAGTCGACTTAGATGGAGGCTGTGGCGCGCCCAGAATAGAAGTGTTGAGAGGGAGAGAAGGAGAGAAGGCCGGCTCCTTGTCGGCTGCCAGAACTCCCGCCTTCCCTTCCTCCTTTCCTCGCCTGCTTCGCGGTTGCGCCGGGCTGCTGGGAAGGCAGTGGGCGGGGTCAACGGGCAGCCGTGGCGGCTGGGTAATGGCAGCCCAGTGAAGAGGCTTCGGGGCGGCCAGAGAGAGAGAGACGGCGGAGGGGGAGGACGGGGAGACGACGCGGGCCCGGGCCTCTCCTGTTGCCAGGTAACCCCGCGAAGGAAGGAAGGAGGGGAGGGACCCCGCCTTCTGTGTGTCCCCCCCCTCCCCTCCCCTCCCCTCCCCACGCCCCTTGGCCGCCTCTTCCTCCTCCTCTGGGGCGCCCCGTGCATTCTTTCCCCGCAACACCATGGCCCGACTTTGGGCTCCTCCCCCTCTCTCTATATCTCTCTACTATAGTAGGCCTGGGCAAACTTGGCCCCTCCAGGTGTTTTGGACTTCAACTCCCACCATTCCTAACAGCCTACTACAGCTCCCAGAAGCCCCCAGCCTGCGAATGCAGGCTGGGGGCTTCTGGGAGCTGTAGTAGGCTGTTAGGAATGGTGGGAGTTGAAGTCCAAAACACCCAAGTTTGCCCAGGCCTACCCTATAGACCAGTGGTTCTCAACCTAGGGGTTGCGGGGGGGGGGGKGTCAGAGGAGTCGCCAAAGACCTTCAGAAAACACAGTATTTTCTGTAGGTCGAGGGGGTTCTGCATGGGAAGTTTGGGCCAATTCTATCGTTGGTGGGGTTCAGAATGCTCTTTGATTGTAGGTGAACTATAAACCCCAGCAACTGCAGACAAGGGTTCTTTCTCCCACCCTGGACATTCCACAGATATATAAACATCACTTGTCTATTATTTATTATTATATATTAACTTTATTTGTACCCCGCTAGCATCTCCCGAAGGACTCGATGCGGCTTACATAGGCCAAGGCCTCAAAACACAACATAACAATACAACACCTAAAGCAAATTAAAAACAGTTAAAGCAATATTAACAACAAGCAATAAACAATACATCAAGACACTATAAAACTGGGCCGGGCCAGAGTAATGGGTACAAGATTAAAATGATGAGAGAGGGTGGTCTAGAAATAAAGGTTTGATTATTATCATTATTATAGATGTGGGTGAAACATCAGGAGAGAATGCTTCTGGAACATAGTCATGCATCCTGGAAAACTCACAGCAATCCTTTGCTCTTCTTTTTTTTCTCTGTGTTGCTTGTTGCCTGTCAAAATACTTATAGGTAATACGTTTCATACACTCTCTTTGCATCACTGCAGGTTGGGTTCAGACAAAGTTAGGCTCAATTGAAATCAGTGAAACTTCAAAGCTCATCTAGCTTAGTCTGGATTCAGCCTTATGAGTCCAGGCATTTATGAAAATGACTTAGGTGTGTTGTAGTCAAGTAGGCTCCTTGTTTCCACTTCAGAAACCACAAGAAGTCTGTAATATATATTCCTAAACAACCGGAGAAAGGGAAGGGGTGATGCTGTTCCACTGTTTCTGGCTTGCTTTCATTTCAGTCCATTTCAGGCCATAAAATGAGATCAAAAGTGATAGTTATAGGAATCCTGGAAGTAGAAAGTACAACTTACTTGTGACCCCATAGCAAACTCATGCAGGTTTGTTCTCTGATGCCATTGAACATAGGACCAGGTTTAAATGGTTTGAAGGTAGGAGAATAAATTTTCATTGAACATTAGAGGAAAGTTCTTAAGAGCTATGCAGCACTGGAATAATTTACCTAGAGATATGATGGAATCTGTTTCTCTGGGCATCTTCAAAAAGAGACTGGACAAGCTACCTGCTAGAGATGGGCAGTTGGTTTGATGTCGTGACTTATGGAGCCCTTCTAGTTCTAATGATTCATTACATTATCTCAGCAAAACAATATAGATGTTTTGCTCTTCAAAACAACTAGCTACCATTTATTTATAGTTTGTATCTTTAATTTGGAACCTTAAAACATCCATAGCACATTTGTTTAATTCAGAGCTCTTTTTGCTTCAAAGAAGAAAATCTACAGAAATTATCTGTAGAGGCCTGAATTAAAGGTATGAACAGCTGTAGCAAACATAATTATTGTATCACCTGTGTGTATTCTAGGTCAATTCTTCTCAAGAATTCTGGCATGGAAAATCAGCAGTTTTTCCCAGGGGACTGGTATCATATGTGTGTCCATTAGCTACAATTCTGTCTGTCTGTCTTTCAAATTCACCAAAGACCAGCATTCAGTGACTCAAAATGGCACTAGTACTACCACTTTGAGTAATGCTGTTCTAGGAAACCTCTTCTAGAAAGGCTCTTAGAATGATGTACATACAAAAATGGGGGGATTCTGACTGCTACGTATCATAAATTAGGAGTGCAATACCTTTATTCCCAGTCACCAACTGGAAGCTGTAGTAACAACAAAAAAGTTAAGTTTGCCGCAGTATCTTTAACTCTAGGTATCACTCCTTTTAGATTTTGAAATATCTCCATGAACTGAAATTATTGATAGATGTAAGCTGAAAATACTGTATCACTTTTGTTTTGAATGTTTTTCAAAGTCTCTTGTTGAGTAAGTGTGGCTTTCTGCGGCGTCTTTTGTATCTTCTTGTTTCCTTCCATTTATCATTTTGGCCTAGTTCCTCACCTAAAATATATATCTTTCACTGCTTAGGGAAGAAGTTGTAACTGTAACCCGAATTATGCTTTTCTCATTTCAGTTCCATATATCTCTCTTTCTTTCTTTTTTTGTTATCCTTGGCTTTCTTTATAAGCCTTTTTTTTTTTTTTAGATATGGTGCCCAAGTAGTTATTTGAATAAAAATAATTATGTTATGTAGTGGAATCTAACTTACCAAAAAAGCTAAATCTGGCAGTTCTCTATGCTAATGTTTGCTCTTCTGTTAAATTGTTCTAGATAGTATGCTACTTCCTCTGGTTTATTAAAGTGGTAGAGTTGCATACACAGCTGAATATAATTAATTATTGATGCTTTCCAGTCTTGATAAACATTGTATTCTCTAAACACCATTTTTATATTGTATTTACATATAACTTGTAAGCTGCTCTGAGTCCCCTTCATGGTGAGAAGGGTGTCATATAAATGTCGTAAATAAATAAATAATCAACCATTAATATTTTCCTGATTGCATACATCTGAGTGTCTTCTGTTAATTTCTTTCTTTCCTTCTCCACATTCTGAAAATAGTTACCTATACTGTGTTGCTCCAAAAAGTTGCAAAAATGCTGAGTTGAATCCAGGTATAGCTACACGCACAGTAGATTGTAATAAATAGGACCTAAGGATTTAAAACCAACCTTCTAATATCAGAGAATTGGTTTTCAAAGAGGAGCAGCAAGTGTGCATTTATCAGCTGTCACCAAGTTCTTAACTATCAGGAAGGGAGAGCCAATGTTGCCTCTAAAAGAGTGCCATTTTTTTTAACAGATGCTGACTGTCCTCCCTTAAATATAGTTTTTTGAAGTTAATGTACAAACAACTATGAGTAATCATTAAATTGACTAGTAGAGTGTTGCTGTTATATGAAGGAAATACTATAAAACAGACTTTCAATATCAAAGATTACCAAAGAGCACCAGCAACAGTCTGCTGTTTAAAGATGTACTCTATGAAATTATAAATAAGTATTCAAAGGAAAAAAGTTGAATTTTAGGGCTGGTCTTACAAGTAGTATTAGTTTGATGTGAAATTAAAAGCCTGGATTTTTCTCTTCACAGATTTTAATACTAACACCCCACAATGTCCTTGAAACCACGAGTAGTTGATTTTGATGAAACATGGAGCAAGCTTCTTACAACAATTAAAGCTGTTGTGATGTTGGATTATGTAGAAAGAGCGACATGGAATGACCGCTTCTCGTATCCTTTTATTAGAAGGGGGAATGAATGGTTATACAGTCTTGGTATCGATTTGACATTAGCCAATACACATATTTATATTTGCCTCCATGTAAAGCCAGCTGAAATAAGATATTATTAATGATTGATTTTAGCTAGCTCAGTAAAAGTGGGGGCCTGTTCTTTCCTCTCAATAAAACAATTATTGGTCAAACACACTATATACAATTGGATTTGTATTGATTGCTTTTTTAAAAAAATATAGGATGTGGGTTAATTGTACAGTTTATCTTAAAAGACACTAAATTCCGTATATAGCTTTGTGGTTTTTGGTCTGACAACAGAGAGGTTGGGGAGTGCTTTGATTTAAACGAAGGGCTATTGATTTCTCTGCTATCTCCTTGTTTTCAGAAGTTCTGTTACCCTTACCCCACCAGTAGTTTTACTAAATCCCTGTTTGTTGCATATTTATAATGAAGAGGTAATTGTAAACTGTATCACATATTCATATGTGTACATTATGATTTTTTTTATTTCATTATGTGTTTGTCAGAATAGGGATAGGAAAAGCAACATTTCCTTGATACGAAAATCAGCCTACCTAACTTGTTATGTAGTTTGAAGCCTGGTGCCCATCTAGGAAAAATTACTCTTTATTTACACGTGATTTAGAAATATTCCTGTCTTGACAATTTCTGCTTCTTTTTTCAATTGGAACGTGATTGTTTCAGTCTTCATAGAAAAGTTTAATTCAGTTTTTAATTAATACACATCCTTCTTGAGACTAAGAGGAGGGTAAATACATCAGGGCACTGTGCCCCAAGATAGAGTCAAGCTGTCTTGAAAGGAGCAATGGAAAGTCACATGATAATTTTATTTAAAGCATTGGCTCACTTTCTGTTACCTTTTGACCTTCAGATCTTCTCTCTCTGAATCCCTGCAGAAATGAAATATTTCTGGCACTGTTCTGTTGTGTGCCCCTGAAAAGCAGGAGTGACACATCTTAAGCCTGTTACTAGAAATAATTGAATGGTTTATTACTGTGTCTGGAAGTTAGTTTTGCAATAATGAAAATATAAAACATTTCAAAGGTTCTTTTTCCCCAAAAGAATTTTTAACGTAGTAAACAAACTTTCTTTCTCTATTCTTAATTCTTAGCATCTGTTGTGAAATCCAACCCCCCCCCCCTTTTAAAGGGATAATTGGTTGATTTTTCACAAGATTACATAGAATTTTCTTTTTGTGTGTGTCAGGAGTGACTTGAGAAACCGCAAGTCGCTTCTGGTGTGAGAGATTTGGCCATCTGCAAGGAAGTTGCCCAGGTAACACCTGGATGTTTGATGTTTTACCATCCTTGTGGGAGGCTTCTCTCATATCCCCGCATGGGGAGCTGGAGCTGACAGATGGGAACTCAACCCTCTGTCCCCGGATTTAAACCACTGACCTGTCGGTCAGCGGTCCTGTTGGCACAAGGGTTTAACCCATTGTGCCACCAGGGGCTCCATATGACTAACATAACACTACACTCTGTGAAATCTGGACACCAGTGATTTATACAATTTGGAACTAATGTGGGTTTGATGTAAACAGAGGACAGACAACTTTCCAGCACAGGGGTTAGTAGTGCTTTGGATACACACACAGCGTGCAAGGGGTCACAGTCTGCTGAAATTCATTGACGGCTGTCGAGGTTTCTACAATTGCAGTTGGTCTCTGTAGTACAGGGAGTTGTCAAAGAGGCTGAGAGTCTCTTCCAAGCACAACATTTTGGAAACATGTTTCTAGTCATGATCGTATGTGAGATAGCAGGGAGCAAAAATGGCTGAGGCATTGCATGAGTCTCATGAGCTTCAAGTTGCCCTTCATAATGTAAATAAGGGAGCAAGAACAATCTCTTAAACATTTTGCTTTGCCAAATGCTTGTTTTACCTTTCCCTGCAGCAGGAATATACAGCCAAGGTGTAAACCCACAGGATGAGCAACAAGGCCCAAAGGAAACTGGAATTTGAACTGGTGTTATGTAGTAATGAAAAACACAACTTGGATCATTTTGTATCTCCAGGGAAAGCAGAAGCCAGTCCCTCAAATACAGATTCAGGGCATTTCACAAGGCAACATTCCAGCCTGAAAGTATATGTTGAGATGCTGTTAAATAGTTTCAGGCTGTCTTCCTGGCTTCTCCATTGGGGATCTTTTCAAAGAGGTAGTGGATAAGGAACCCCTCAGCCCTCCCACCAAATTTAGGTAACCTGTCCTCTATTTCGTGTCCCCCTCTTTTGAAGAGCACCCTGTTAAATTTTGTGCCCTGCAGATGCTGAGAACACAAAGCAAATGATAGTGATGTTTTGAAAGCTTAACATTACAGGGCAACATAAATGTAGGTCTTCTAAGTTCTAAACTGGAAAAAGTAATCAAGTGAGTTCTTCCACTTTCAGAGGCTTTGTTCAAAGTTTTATTTAAATATATGCATTAATGATTTTTTAAAGTTCACATTTGCTTTTTAAGAATGATTTGATTACAGTAGTTCTGCCACATTTGTATAAGTTAGAGACACAGTTGTTCCCACAAAAATGGAAAAACTTCAGATATAAATAAAAAACAAACTTTATTTTTACCTGTGAGAACATTTCTCTAGGCATTTGTAGACCATTACCACAAAGTTTCACACATAAATGTGATGGAAGACCTACAGATGTCTGGAGAAAAAAAAAAATTATTGGTCACATGTAGGGCAGCAGTGGAGATGGCATTAAATGTAGCAAACCAAATTAAATCAACAAATGCTTAACCCACAAATGTGGAGGCATGGCCCACATGATATTCAAATACTTATTTTCACAGCAATCTGCACCCAGAAGAGAAAGACATCAGAAGCATTGTTAGTGAATGCACAGAGGTCTTTGAAACTTACAATTAAAAAAAATCTGATAGAATTTTACTTGATTTTACAAAATATGTTTCAGCCTTGACTTCAAACCCAGTGACATTTATGCTTTATGTGTGGCTTATCCTGAACCTTTGGGGGAGAGACTTTATATGGAAACTAAGAATTTTTTGGAAAATCATGTACGCCTTTTGCACAAGGTAACTACCAAGTGTACAAAACACACATTTTATATTTCTGTATATCATATTCTGTATTATGTGTTTATTGTTTGGCTGTTAAAAGAATATAAGAATATATTTTTATTAAATGGAAATACCAAGGAAATACCTATGGTGTCTCCAAAACATATTGGAATCGTTTTACGAAACAGAATTTGATAGAAAGTAAGTTCTTGCTATGTATAATTCACCAGATTTGATTGAACGTTGTGAATTACCATGTAATGATTAGAACAGTGGTTCTCAACCTGGGGTCCCCAGATGTTTTTTGCCTACAACTCCCAGAAACCCCAGCCAGTTTACCAGCTGTTAGGATTTCTGGGAGTTGAAGGCCAAAAACATCTGGGGACCCCAGGTTGAGAACCACTGGATTAGAACAATAATTGAATTTGTGTGTTTTTCTCCTCATAGAGAGTTCTGGACTCTGAAGAACAAATCCTGGTAATGTATCATAGATACTGGGAAGAATACAGTAGAGGGGCAGACTATATGGACTGTTTATACAGGTAAATTATGGAGATATTCAAAGTATAATTTATGCACATAAAAAGAGAGAAGCGAACAGAACAAGTCTAAACCTATTAGAAGACTGAAACCTGTACAATTTACTTTGGAAAGTTGTTGTTGTTGTTCATTCGTTCAGTCGTCTCCGACTCTTCGTGACCTCATGGACCAGCCCACGCCAGAGCTCCCTGTCGGCCGTTACCACCCCCAGCTCCCTCAAGGTCAGTCCAGTCACTTCAAGGATGCCATCCATCCATCTTGCCCTTGGTCGGCCCCTCTTCCTTTTGCCTTCCACTTTCCCCAGCATAATGTCTTCTCTAGGCTTTGCTGTCTCCTCATGATGTGGCCAAAGTACTTCAACTTTGTCTCTAGTATCCTTCCCTCCAGTGAGCAGTCGGGCTTTATTTCCTGGAGGATGGACTGGTTGGATCTTCTCACGGTCCAAGGCACTCTCAGAACTTTCCTCCATCACAATTCAAAAGCATCCCTCTTCCTTCTCTCAGCCTTGCCTATGGTCCAGCTCTCACATCCGTAGGTTACTACGGGGAATACCATTGCTTTGACTATGCGGATCTTTGTTGCCAGTGTGATGTCTCTACTCTTCACTATTTTATCAAGATTGGACATTGCTCTCCTCCCAAGAAGTAAGCGTCTTCTGATTTCCTGGCCACAGTCTGCATCTGCAGTAATCTTTGCACCTAGAAATACAAAGTCTGTCACGGCCTCCAGAGTTTCTCCCTCTATTTTCCAGTTGTCAATCATTCTTGTTGCCATAATCTTGGTTTTTTTGACGTTTAGCTGCAACCCGGCTTTTGCGCTTTCTTCTTTCACCTTGATTAGAAGGCTCCTCAGCTCCTCCTCGCTTTCGGCCATCAGAGTGGTGTCATCTGCATATCTGAGGTTGTTAATGTTTCTTCCAGCAATTTTCACCCCAGCTTTGCATTCATCCAGCCCCGCACATCGCATGATGTGTTCTGCATACAAGTTAAAAAGGTTGGGTGAGAGTATGCAGCCTTGCCGAACGCCTTTCCCAATCTTGAACCAGTCTGTTGTTCCGTGGTCAGTTCTGACTGTTGCTACTTGGGCCTTGTACAGATTCCTCAGGAGAGAGACAAGGTGGCTTGGGATGCCCATCCCACTAAGAACTTGCCACAATTTATTATGATCCACACAGTCAAAGGCTTTAGAATAGTCAATGAAGCAGAAGTAGATGTTTTTCTGAAACTCCCTGCCTTTCTCCATTCTCCAGCGGATATTGGCAATTTGGTCTCTCGTTCCTCTACCTTTTCTAAACCCAGCTTGAACATCTGGCAACTCTCGCTCCATGTATTGCTGGAGTCTTCCTTGCAGGATCTTGAGCATTACCTTACTGGCATGAGAAATAAGGGCCACTGTACGGAAGTTTGAGCAGTCTTTCGCATTTCCCTTTTTTGGTATGGGGATATAAGTTGATTTTTCCAGTCTGATGGCCATTCTTGTGTTTTCCATATTTGCTGGCATATGGCATGCATCACCTTGACAGCATCATCTTTTAAGATTTTAAACAGTTCAGCTGGGATCCCGTCGTCTCCTGCTGCCTTGTTGTTAGCAATGCTTCTTAAGGCCCATTCAACCTCACTCCTCAGGATGTCTGGTTCTAATTCATTCACCACACCATCAAAACTATCCTCAATATTATTATCCTTCCTATACAGATCTTCTGTATAGTCTCGCCACCTTCTCTTGATCTCTTCAGCTTCTGTTAGGTCCCTGCCATCTTTGTTTCTTATCATACCAATTTTTGCCTGAAATTTACCTCCAATGTTTCTAATTTTCTGGAAGAGGTCTCTTGTCCTTCCTATTCTGTTGTCTTCTTCAACTTCCCTGCATTGCTTATTTAAAAATAGTTCCTTATCTCTTCTGGCTAACCTCTGGAATTGCGCATTTAACTGGGCATATCTCCCCTTATCCCTGTTTCCTTTTGCTTTCCTCCTTTCTTGGGCTACTTCCAGTGTCTCAGCAGACAACCATTTTGCCTTCTTGGTTTTCTTTTTCTTTGGGACGTACTTTGTTGCCGCCTCCTGAACAATGTCTCGGACTTCTGTCCATAGTTCTTCTGGGACTCTGTTTACTAAATCTAGTCCTTCAAATCTGTTCTTCACTTCCCCTGTATATTCGCTAGGAATGTTAGTGAGATCATATCTAACTGGTCTGTGTATTTTCCCTGATCTCTTTAGTTTTATTCTAAATTGGCAATAAGAAGTTCGTGATCTGAGCTACAGTCAGCCCCAGGTCTTGTTTTCACCGACTGGATGGATGTCCGCCACCTTTGGCTGCAAAGGATGTAGTCAATTTGATTTCGGTGTTGACCGTCTGGTGAGGTCCATGTGTAAAGCCGTCTTTTAGGTTGTTGGAAGAGAGTATTCGTTATACACAGCGAGTTTTCCTGGCAAAATTCTATCAGCCTGCGTCCCGCTTCATTTTGTTCTCCCAGACCATGCTTGCCTGTGATCCCAGTTGTCATTTGACTTCCCACCTTGGCATTCCAGTCTCCTGTAATGAAAATAATGTCTCTTTTTGGTGTATTATCCAGTAGTTCCTGCAGATCCTCATAGAACTGATCTACTTCTGCTTCTTCAGCAGCTGTGGTTGGGGCGTATATTTGGATCACTGTAATGTTGAAAGGCTTTCCTTGCACTCGAATTGAGATCATTCTGTCATTTTTTGGGTTGTATCCAAGCACCGCTTTAGCGAATTTCTTATTAATTATGAAGGCTACTAAATTCTTCGATGTTCCTCTTGTCCGCAGTAGTAGATCTGGTGGTCATCTGATGTGAAGTGGCCCATTCCAGTCCATTTCAGTTCGCTGACCCCCAGAATGTCTATCTTTAGTCTTGACATCTCGCCAATAACAACATCCAATTTGCTCTGGCTCATAGATCTTACATTCCAGGTTCCTATGGTGTGTTGATCTTTAGAGCATCGGATTCGTCGTTCACCTCCAGTACCGTCGGCCGCTAGCCTTCCTTTCGGCTTTGAGCTAGCTGCGTCATCACATCTGGGGTTAGTTGAACTTATCATCTGCTCCTCCCCAGTAGCATTTTGGCCATCTTCCGACCTGGGAGTCCCATCTTCCAATGGCATACCGACATATCTCTGGTTGTACTGGTCCATTTAGTTTTCTTGGCAAAGATACTGGAGTGGTTTGCCATTGCCTTCCCCAGGGATCACGCTTGGTCTGAAAGTTGGAAAGTTATTGAGGATGAAACTATGTCTTGCCATATGTGACAAGTTTACAGCTGTCAGCATTTTCTAATTCATGACTTTGCTACTTATAATGGTTCAATCCAGATTTAATCATACTCAGAGTACATCCATTATTACAAACTGATCTTTAATGTTTTAATGAGTCATCCTAAGAGTTTTTAAATGTTTTGGGTAATACCCAGATTTACGAATGAATCATTTGCCCCTATGTTTGCAGTGACTCTACGAAAGTATGACTAAGTCTGGATTTTCCCTAATTGCATATATACTTTCTTTTTTATTTTTTTTTTCACACACATAGAATCTTTGTGAATTGTGTGATCCTCTGTTATGCTTTCTTGTTGCATGTACAGGTTAGATATCCCTTATTTGGAAATTCAAATAATGAATGAAACAAAATACAAAATAACTTACTGCCTAATCCAAAACATTTGTACTGCATGCTGCTTGCTTTAATATTCCAAAGCCAATGAAGCAAATGAAAGGGGGTTTTCATTTAAAAAAATAATTTAATCGTGTGTTTTGCAATGAAGGCTAATGTAGGTGCTGTGTATCCTTCCTACTAAAAGAGCATTTTTCATCCATTTGAAGGTTCCTCTTATGTCCAATAATGTCTTATTATATCCAGTAAAGTCAAAGACATCTACTGTTTCATTTGAATTTATGAATTTAAGATTCAGCTTGCATGATGTATAGGCCTTGGTCAGCCCTTTCCTTGTTTGGATTTAGCCCTAAAATAATACTTTGGCACACCCTAGAAGTGAAGAAAAACTCAAGAACCTATCCATACCCAATGGAAAAACTGTTTACATCAAGGAATTCCAGACAGTCCTCCCCATTCCTGAGGCACAGGAACTCTATGAAAGTGAAAAACCACAAATATAGAAAATGCCCTTATTTTAATCTGAGAGAATACCTCCCTGTGTATTAGTTTCTTATAGAAGGAGGCCATAGAATCACACTGGAGGACCTAGAGATTTCTAGAAACAACATTTCAATTAAATCTGCAGAAGTAAAAAAAAAACCCCACAAATGTTGTTTGTAACCTTTGTCTTCTACCCACGGCTGGTCTGGGAATATTGTTGGCATTTGTAATTTGTTGCTTGGCTTTAATACCTGCATCCATGTCTATTTCTCAAGATACCATCAAAGCCTGCCACTCCAAGTTGCTTAATCCCAGGGACTGCACACAACTGACACATGTCTTGGCCACTTTGACTTCCCTTATCAGGTTGACCTACTCGGGCAACTTCTTCTCCTACTAGAAAGCAAGGCAAATGAGCCTGGGCAATTCTAGCACTCAGTGCCCCTTAATGCATCTTTTTTCTTTATTTTCTCCTGGGACTGCTCACCACCACCTGCATGAAAGAGGACACACACACATGAACTACTTCTTGACGGCCACATATGAACTATCCCAACCATGCATTTTTAATGGTTCCTAAGCACTCATCCATATTTCTGTGGGCCTGCCTTCTTCTCTTGGAGGGTATTCCTTGACACAACAGAAGAGAAGCAGAAAGAAGACAGCAGTGATGACCATTAAGCATCATAGCCAACCCAGCGGTTATTCATTGTTGGAACGGGCAAAGCTATCACAGAAAACTAGTCCTTGGGGTGATGATTCCCCACCTCAATTAAAAAACGTAGTCAGCACTAATTTCAGTTAGGCTTCATATGCAATAGTTTAGGTTGGTTAAAACTTGAAGCAGAAACCTCTGGTTTCCTCACAGTTGTGTTACCACGGTGGTTCTGCATACTGCCTGTGTTTCATGCCTGTTGACATGATTTGCTTTCTCTTAATCAAAATGTGAATTGTATTTTTACTGGTCTAGACAAGCTCTGGAAAGCATCTGAATAGAAATATTTTATGTTTTTGTAGATACCTCAATACCCAGTTTATTAAAAAGAACAAATTGACTGAAGCTGATCTCCAGTATGGTTATGGAGGTGTTGATATGAGTGAACCACTGATGGAGATTGGAGAGGTATGTACTTGGCAGAAGGACCTTCAAGAGATAAAGATGAAGTTAATGTAAAAAAAATGTAGCCTGCCTTTTCAGCCATGGTATATCTGTGTTTTAAGAGAAGCATTAACCCATCCTATTGTGTCAGTATAATAATAGGTTTTTTTCTGTATCTTACTGCCATTTTAAGGGGCTTTTATGGATACATTCAGGTTGTTTTGTACAATTATCATTAATGTGATGGTAGATTAACAGTATTTACTATGTGTTCTTTATTTGATTTAATTTCTGATGTTATGTACTTTAAAGGTATGGCTATCTTACTTGCCATTAATACTGTTGAGCAGCTTTTTAAAAACTGAATAAGTTAATAATTTGTGTCTCACGTGTTTCTGTTCCACATTTGTCATGACAGCTAGCACTTGATATGTGGAGGAGATTAATGATTGAGCCCTTACAGGCCATCCTCATTCGAATGCTCCTCCGTGAAATCAAAAAGTGAGTACATTCTTTAGACATTATTGGGATTGGGGGGGGGGGGGGGGGGGGGGGGTGGTGGTGTCTGTGTATAGCCATAACTAATGTGAGAGTTTTGCATGTCTGATTTAAGATACCATTGTGTGAGAGGCTGTTCTGACTTATAGAATCATAGAATCAAAGAGTTGGAAGAGACCTCATGGGCCATCCAGTCCAACCCCCTGCCAAGAAGCAGGAATATTGCATTCAAATTGCATTCAAATCACCCCTGACAGATTTTCTATATGAACATTTGTGAGTTCATATAGAAAAGCAGAAAGTGTGACACAGCACATAGAAAATTTTCTATAGTGGTAGTCAGTGCTTATTTATGGTTTTGCTGAGTAACATTCTGTGAGGTTCTGAAATCTCTGTTCTGTCAGTAGCATTTGAATTTGAAGACAACATGTCTATGTTGGTAGGGCATGGAGGGAATTACAGTAAAACATGCTCTGTAGGGTGCTATGTAAGGAACACTGTCCTACTGCTTTTCACTCTTGTCTAAAACATTGGTATTGTTCCATTAATAGATGGATCTGATTTTAAAATCTCTATATTTTAAAATTAGGTATTGTAGAGTATTGTATAAATGTAAAAAAAAAGACTGACCTTAGATCCAGAACTCTTTCTGAAATTCTGAATGTATTACAGAGCTCATCAGCAATACAAGCTTCAGCCACTTCTGTCAGTCAGCTTTGTTTCAGGGTAAGGCTCTGATTGCAAGCAATGTAAAATCTTGCTTTTTCTATAGCACCTCAGCAAAGGCATAGAAAGGGAAAAACACCTAGACAACCTGACAGTCTTGCCAACAGTGATTTTTTTTCTTAGTAATCTTGTTTTTTCCTCCCCTGAATCTGCCAGCAGGTGGCATAGGATTCTCAGAGTTATAAAGAGCAGCCAGGACAAAACACACAATTAAGTGTGAGAGTCCAACATGCCCTTGATGTTTGTATCCACTCTCATTTACAAAATCCATCTCAGAGCAGCACTGTTTCAAGTTTTAGCTGTTTAGCTGCAGATGCAGTTAATCCAAGATATCCTTCTTAGAAATAGTTTCAACACTTACTGAAATAAATAAGCCAGTGTGGTGTAGTGGTATGAGCATTGCACTATGATTCTGGAGACCAGTGTTCAAATCCCTTCTCAGCTATGGAAGCCCACTGGACGATCTTGAGGACGTCTTATCCTCAGAGGAAGGCAATGGCAAAATCCAACAGACAAATCTTTCTAAAACAACCCCATGAAATTGATGTCATAAGTCAACAATTGGGAGCATATTGGAGTAATATATATATATTTAAAAATTACTTTTGGGTGTTCTAATGTGTTTTTCCTAGTACACACTTAGAAACATGGGCATCATTTTTTCTTAAGATCACTGTGTCAAAATGCAGCAGAAATAGATACGATGCAGCATATTTGAGTCCAAAACATCAAAAACAAGTTTATCTTAGCCTTTCTAGTGTTATTTACATTTTGAAATTTTTTTTTATATCATTTTCTGTCTGTCAAAAAACTACCTTCTGTTTTTTCACTATCTATTTGGGAAGAATTGAAAGAAATTGTCATTTGTTTCATACCAGCTATGGGGTCAGATTTATACCTTTTAATTTCTGTTCAGTTCAGAGTACAGAATGTCTGCTGTGGTGGTAGCATGAGTTCCAGACTTTAATCTCTTGGCATCAATAACAATGTAGGATTAGTATTAGTTGCCTGTTATTAAATATCACAACCATCCTTTCCCCTCTGCCTGTTCTTCACAGAATAACATGCTGATGGAATGAAATTGCCTTGCTCTTGGCTCCTTTTCCTGCTGGTGTGCACTCATTTTTGGCCTCAGATAACAGTCATAGGACTGTTTAACCCCAAACTCTGACATGAAACTCTGTTGCAATTCCTATTCTGCTCTGTTTTCTTGGTCTACTTTTTCTCTCCTTCTATCTCCTCTTAAAAATATCTGAAAGAGAAAAAATAGGGATTCTACTCTGTAACCACACCTTAGGCCAGGGTGTAATTCAGGGCTGTTCCAGACAAGGCCCTCTATCCCAGAATCTGATCCCAGATTTTCTGTTTATCCAGATTATCTGGAAATGTGGACTCATATAATGCAGTTTTTAAAGCAGAAAACCTGAGATTAGATCCCGGGATATAGGACCTGTCTGGAAGGACCCACAGTTGAGGAACAGTATAGGGTTCCATGGGTATGCTTTGTCCTTTGAGGGCACCCAGAAACCTTAAATAGAGCTTTCTGCTAATAAGTCAGGTTTATATTAGTGAACTAGTTTTGGCATCACAGTAGAAGTCCAGTGTTCTACCAATCTGCTCATTAAGGAAGCACCACCATTTTCAGTTCTGGCCAAGGGGTAGGGAACATTTTACACCTAATTTTAATGAAAATGGGGGGGGGGGGCTCATTTTCCCATGCAATATGCATGAACAGTAGAGACATCAATCCACTTTTGCAGGATTTACAGGCACAGCCTTCCCCCTTCAATATGAATGAGCATTTTAATATCCCGGGGGGGGGGGGGGGGGTGGTCTGGGGAGGGGCTACTTGCCATAGTTCCAGGAGGAAGATAAAGAAGAGCAAGTGTCATGTACCACTTCACTTGCTCCGTGCATCCCAGCTCCTTTCATTCTTCCTGTGTGCTGTGAGTGACTACTCAAATAATCAAAACTGGAAGTGTGAAACCCAGCAAAAGTGGAGGGACATCTGCATTACCTATGGAAGTGGAGGGACAACTGTAACAATAAACATATTGTTATAAAATTTAAATACATTTTATAATACATTTACAGGCACAGCCTTCCCCCTTATATTTGTATAATAACAAATATAAGTTGCTTTTTCGTTTGACTCTTGGTTGACTGCTATATGCAGAAAAGGCTTTATGCTGCACAGTATGTAGGGAATGACTTGCAGATCCGAATCTCCTCATCCTCCCACATACTGTGTGCCCATTTTTTGAGAAGTATGTCTTCTAAAGAGAGGTGGTGTTTGCACATTACAAAAAAATCAACTGCCCAGTCACAGAAAAGTGGTTTAAACCATTCGTCTCATTGATGTTGTAGTCAGGGCTGTACAGAAATAACACATATGTTAAATCTTTCATGGACTGTTTCATTCCCTATTTTCTTTTTCTCCATCTTTCAGTGATCGTTGTGGAGAAGATCCAAATCAGAAAGTAATCCATGGGGTTATTAACTCCTTTGTTCATGTTGAACAGTATAAGAAAAAATTTCCCCTAAAGGTAAAAAAAACCAAAACCCAGTGATTTTTTTTTCATGGTTAATTGTGATGACTGATCATTTCATGTCTTACCCTATTTGTACTTGATCAGAATCTTTCAATTTTAGTTTTATCAGGAAATATTTGAGTGTCCTTTTCTGAATGAAACTGGGGAGTATTATAAACAAGAAGCTTCAAATCTAATGCAAGAATCAAACTGCTCACAGTATATGGAAAAGGTAAGTAGCTTTTATTTATGCCGATTGTGCCTAAAAGGATCATGGAACTGATATTCTTTGAATCCTCTGAGTATTATGATAGGATGTCTCTTAGCTCTTGATTTCCCAGCCCAAGAACAAAGGGAAGAAAGAACAATGTCTGTGGTAATGGAATGAAATCACCTTTAGGAATAGGATGCAGGCATTAGTTCCTACATTCCTATTTAAATGTCATTCTAGGAAAATACATTGTTGATTCAAGGCTTCAGGAGCTATATCCAAAGAATTCACAACTACTCTTGCAATACAGCTGTGCCTGCTTGCCTCCTGTGATTTCTGAAGAAAGACTTTACAATATCAGCTTATGCATCACCTTCAAAACACCAGCACTCCACCAGGCTAATGGGGTCCACACAGCTTTCTGCATTCCTGTCTAGATATTAAAACAAGCATTATTGCTTGGTTTTGAATTTGTTGGATTTGAATTATCTTGCCATTTCATTACACTAGAGAAAAAAGTCCACTTAAAATCCAGTTTCTGCCTCCTGAAGAATTATGGGGTTTGTAGTTTAGTAAGGCTGTTAAAGGCTTCTCCCTGAACTACAAACCCCAGAATTCCACAGGAGATTTTTAATTGGATTTTTTCTCTAGTGTGATGAGGAAGTTGATTGTATTCAGACTGCATACCATCTCTCTTGGCAGAGCATGTTCTCTGTAAATGAAATTGAGCTTTCCAATAATGTCATAAGTTAGCATTCTGAAGGTCTTTCCACACAGCCATATAACCCAGAATATCAAGGCAGAAAATCCCACAACATCTGCTTTGAACTGGGTTATCTGAGTCCACACTGCCATATATTCCAGTTCAAAGCAGATGTTGTGGGATTTTATTCAGCTATGTGGAATGGGCTTAAGTGACTTTTTGGTGTTATACCAAGGCTTCTGATTGTCTTTAATCTTGACTTGCTATATCCCATCCCATTTGCTTTCTCTAGGTCACTTTGGTTTTGTTTTTATTGTGTGTTGTTTTTAATGTTATATAAGCCACTTCTCTCCCCCCTTTTTTGGCAATAAAAAACAGAAAATAGACAGCTAAAGTAAATAAAGATGCATGATATGAATGGGCAACGAAAGGTTGCTTTGGACTTGATTGTCTTTGAAGGCTAGTTTGGCTGCTCCTGTTTAGCAAGCCCAGAACAAAATTTGGCCTAAATGCTTCCACTTCACCATTCCATTCACATCATTTTGCTACCTTGTTTAGTTTAAACTTTAGTTCCCCATTATATCCAAAACAAAAGGCTATGATTTAACAGTCTATTAACCACAATCTTAAACTGCAGTTACAGAATCCATACCCTTCAAGTGAACATGAGCTGGTTTCTTCCCTTGAAAATAGTTGCCCTTATTTATAGGATGCAGTATAGTCTTTCACCTCTAGCAGATGATCATGAATGGTTTATCTGGAATCTTGTTGGCCATATCCTCTTACATTTTTATTAAAATTCCAATAATACACCAATATATACTAAATGTAAAAAAATGGAATGTATAGTTGTGATATCTGAAAACATCATTAATATTATGGTGAGTGATCCTGGGTAGATTTTGTTACTTAAATGAAGTAACAACTTCTTCTTGGTCAGTCAAATGTTAACTTAATACACACATCAGATCATCTTTGGCCTTTAAGCTACACCAAAAGAATGAAATTATATCCACAGGTATATGATTTGAGAAAGGTATCCATTACATTAAATTGTTGCCTTAATCTTCATTTTACTGTGTTTTTTAAACCTTGAATGTTCTTTCAGTCTCTAGTTTCTCAATAGTTTATCATATTTCTATATCTTGAAAATTGCTCTTAGGTTTTAAGTAGATTAAAAGATGAAGAAATGAGATGTCGAAAATACTTGCACCCCAGCTCCTATGGCAAAGTAATTAATGAATGCCAACAACGAATGGTAGCAGAACACTTACAGTTCCTTCACGCAGAATGCCATAGCATCATCCGACAAGAAAAACGAAATGGTAAATGGATATATTGTGATAAAAGCTTGAATCCACATGAATCCAAAGTAAAAATACTCTGTATTGAAATGCTTTTAGTGTAAGCCACTTTGAGTCTTCATGTGGAGAGAAAAAGCGGGGTCTAAACAAACAAACAAACAATAACAATAATAATAATAATATGCAAAATACAGTATTTTATTGGAACAGATTTATGTACATTGGCATTTTTTCTAATGTAAATAAATGTACTGTGATCCAGAACAGAATATTTTCATGTATATCTGATATGGATGTGCCTCACCGTTGATAGTAGACCATTAATGCAGTTGGATTGAGACCAAAATTTTTACAGAGACTGAATGAACACCTCTTTCTCTTCATCTTAGGTCTTCTTGTGACTTATCATCATAGTTTTAATTTAGACATATGTTGGTTCCAGCAACACTCTGTTGGTTCCAACAAAACCTCAACACCCTGAGGTTTTGAATAAAGTCAGTCCCCAAGTTACTAATAAGATATGTTCTGTAGGTTTGTTTTTAAGTTATATTTGTTTGTAAGTGGGAACAGGTAAATTTTAAGTGTAACTCCAGCTATAAAGATATATATTTTAGCTTTGGATAGCATAGGGAAGGGTGAACACCCCTGTGGTGTTTGTTTTGCTGTCCGTGCCCCTCTCCAGAAGATTTCATGTCGCTTTGTGTTCCCGTGATAATTGGGTTTTGAAAATTTGGCTTGTTATGGAAACAAGGATTGGTGTTAAATCTTCAGTGGAGACTCCTTTCCCTCATGATAGCTCTTTCAGGAGTGAATTCCCTTCTGAGAGGGAGATTTCTCTCACTTTTTGTTGTCTCACTCCCATTCTTAACTAAAAGTTATTTGTGAGTTGGATGTTTGTAACTTAGGGACTATTTGTACTGTCCTACGTATCTGACTGTGAAGTTATTATATATATGATATATTGCCCAGGATTTCAAAACCAGGATTCATAAACTGTTAGCAAACCCAAATTTGAGGCTGGTTTCTGTTTCTGTTTTGAGCACAATCAACTGCAATACCTATATTGCAATGTAATGCAAGGCATTCTCTTTACGCTGTTTATTCATCTGGTAAAGTGAGTAGTAAAGTGTAGTTATTGTGATTTAATGAACCAAAATCCCTGGCTTACAGCTGTTTGGTTACATCTTTAGGTGCAAAAGTTGTGGATATGGCCAATTGTAATGCATTTAAAATATCTTTAAACCAAGATCTTCCCAATTTTTTGCAGATATGGCAAATATGTACACATTGCTTCATGCCGTGCCAAGTGGTTTACCTCATATGATTCAGGAACTACAAAACCATATCCATGATGAGGGCCTTAGAGCAACCAGCAATCTTTCTCAGGAAAACGTGAGTTTATTTTTCAACTTATTTTTTTATTGATCTTGCTATGGTTTTATATTATATGTTAATGTCTTTAATTGTATTTTATGGTTTTGGGGGCATTGAATTGTTGCCGACTAAACCTCCCTGAGTCGCCTACGGGCTGAGAAAGGTGGTATATAAATATAGTAAATACATAAACACGAAAGGAAATATTTTCTTGGTAGTTCAGAACTTAAAGACTTTATTGGAAACTTGTTTTGCCTCTTTGTACATTTCCATATGCTTGTGATAATTTCACTAACATCATCCACTAAGTGATTTGTACATTTTTCTTTTGGCTTTGTTATGCCTTTGAATAAAATAGTTGTTGACTTGAATCAATTGCAATCCAGTATTCTCTTAATACAGCTCTCACCAACTGTCTGCCATATTTTAGTGAATTGCAATTCCTATTGTCATAAGGAGTATTACTTTATAGACTACATTATTATAGGTTAACACGCTGAGAGGGCAAAGAAGGATTCTTTGAATATTTGGACATGTGATTAGTATAAAGAGAAGCAATGTGATGTCGCGTAAACAGTACATATATGATGCTCCATATTGTTATCCGTGGGATCAGTACAAGTTGACTTTCCTATATTTAATATTCCCTAGATGTTACCCTTTTCCAAACTGTTTTTGCTTACCTCTTCAAGCTTTCTTTCAGACAGAGTTACGGAGATAAAAAGTGTGGACCAAAATGTGTGTTTGTACTATTACTTTCTTACTGCAATTTAAAATCTGTGATTCTGTCCTTAGATGCCCACGCAGTTTGTGGAATCAGTGTTGGAAGTCCACGGTAAATTTGTTCAGCTCATCAACACAGTTCTGAATGGAGATCAGCGTTTTATGAGTGCCCTTGACAAGGTAATTCCAGCATAATTGTTATATTTACTCCTCATAAGCAACATAAGACTAGATCTGAAGTAGCCATGCTTAGATTTTATCATGTATGTGTCTTTGTGCCTTCAAGTCACCTGTTGACTTACAGAGTCCCATCACAGTATTTCCTTATGCAAAGAGTACTCAGTTTTGCCAGTTCCTTCTTCTGAAACACAGCCTACAAAACCTGGTATTCATTAATCATTTCTCATCCAAATACTACCCAGGGATGACTCAGCTTAGCTTTCAAGATCAGATGGGATCTGGGTGCCTTTAAGGAGTTTAAGTCAGTTAGGATAAAGTAGTTGAATTAAAATGGATGCTTAAGTTCATCATGACTTTTTGGACCATCTACACAGGCCATTTAGTGCAGCTTCAAACTGATATTTAAGAAATCCTAGAAGCGGTTTGAGGACCAGATGGTGATTACATGAACCACGGAGCACTGATGTGCATTTTTTTTGTCATGTCAGGAGCGACGTGAGAAACTGCAAGTCGCTTCTGGTGTGAGAGAATTGGCCGTCTGCAAGGACGTTGCCCAGGAGACGCCTGGATGATTTGATGTTTTTATCATCCTTGTGGGAGGCTTCTCTCATGTCCCCGTATGAGGAGCTGGAGCTGATAGACTGAGCTCATCCGCCTCTCCCCGGATTAAAACCTGCGATCTGTCAGTCTTCAGTCCTGCCGGCACAGTGGTTTAACCCACTGAGCCACCAGGGACTGATGTGCATTAAGGGGTTTTATTTGCACACTTTTTGGGGTGTTTGTTGTTGTCTGGCTGACACAATTTGAAGCTAGCTTCAAACTGCATTAAATGATAAATGGAGATGGTCCTTAGAAAGATTAGATTAGCCCCAAATCTCCAAACCTTAAGTTTGAGCCTAAAAACATGGCTATTTACACGGGCCTTGGAGTAATATACAATGGTCATGTGATGATGTCGACCATTGTTATTTGGCATTTTAGTTCATGTTTGAAGAAACCAAAAGACCTACAGGTATTACTGTGTTTTCGAATTTTTAAATTTTATTGATTGACGTTGCCCATTGTTTTGATGATATGTAATTCTGTTTTATGTGTGGCACCTTGAGTTCTTTGTTAGCCACCCCAAGTCCCTTCAGGGAGATGGTGGTGGGGTACAAATAATATTAATAAAAATTATTATTATTATTATTATTATTATTATTATTATTCTGGTGTTTAAGTCTCCTTAACTTGATTTGGTCTCCCCTTATCCATCCCATGTTGGTGAAGAATTTAAGGAGTATGTTGAGTAGGATAATAGTACTAAATAGCGATAGTGAATTTGACTTTGCTTATCACTACTTAAATTATTATCATTGAATTTTATTTGTAATTAAAACACTCAAGTAGTTGGGGAAAGGGGTGACCCAATATTTTCAATTTACTTTAGGAAGTGTGGGAGTTGAAGTCCAAAACACTTGGAGTTTGGGCCGAAGTTTGCCCATGCCTGGTTTAAACTATACATAAGAAATTGGTAAAATGGGATTTATTCTTTAAAAATAGAAATAGTTGCTGTATTTATGTCAGCATGCTCCATGAACCTCTTCATTGTGCTAGAGATGAGTAGTGTCAGCAAGTCTCCATGAAAATTGTTTTCTTTGTGTTCTTTTATAGGCTTTGACATCAGTAGTGAACTATAGGGAACCAAAGTCTATCTGTAAAGCTCCTGAGCTGGTAAGCATCTCATACTTGTTCATGTGTTCATATTGTAAGCATGACATCTCTTCTGATAACATTAAGTCCCAAACACATTTTAATTGATGTATTGTATTAAAACAATGGACTTAAACATTTTTTTAAAATTTGGCTCAACTTGGAAGAGACTTGTATAGGTTAATAAAAGTGGATACATACTGTGATTCAGATCCAACATTGGAGTAGACCCAATGAAACCAGTAGCACTTAAGTTCTGACTAATTTATTTCACACAATTTTTATTTTCAGGAGGTTGAAAACTGGTGCTTTTCTATGTTTTTTGTTTGTTAATAGGTCAAAAAATAATTCAAATTTGTTACTCAAGTTTTTGCAGAAGTTTGGGCTACTGCCTCAAAATATTTGGAAAAAAATTGAGACTTAGGCTAGCTTTGGATACAAAAAAAGGCCACTTTTGACTCATGATATGCACTTTCCCCGCTCCTTTTTAAAAAATAAATCTTTATTAAATTTTCCAAGTATAAAACATACATACATATCTTCATTACATACCTTAGCGATAAAGAACATGGGAAAGAAAGAAGGGGGGGGGGAGTAGGTGTGTAAATCTATAAACCCACTCATACATTCACTCATCCATACTTACTCCGCAGTACTCGCATCCAGTCATCCCTAAAAAGAAGAGGGGGGGGGGGTGAGGGGGAAGAGGGGGGTAGTGATTTGTCATTTATACAGAATTAAAAGATTGACTTCCGTTTTGAGTCCAGACTGTGTTAGTATTTGCAAATTATAGTCCCTCGATTTCCCCTCGTCTGTTTGAGAGTGGGATCCTAATTTTCTTTTGACCCTTTATTACTGATGTTTTATTTATTTTGCCTTATCCTTATAGTTCCTAAGCAGTTCTTTCTTCAGCTCTTTTCCCCACTTCTGATCTAGTTTAATAAACACGCTTTCTTTTTTCACTTGAGCTGGCCAAGTATTGTGACAACCTACTGAAAAAATCAGCAAAAGGCATGACGGAAAATGAAGTAGAAGACAAGCTTACTAGTTTCATTACAGTTTTCAAGTACATTGATGATAAAGATGTTTTCCAAAAGGTAACCACATTTTAAAAAAAATACGTTAGTTAATTCATGTTTTTCCCCCTCTTCTGAAATGTTATATATATGAAATACAGAGAAACTGAACTCTTGCTTTTCTTTAATATAGTTCTATGCCAGAATGTTGGCAAAACGGCTTATACATGGTTTATCCATGTCCATGGACTCTGAAGAAGCTATGATTAACAAACTGAAGGTAATTACAAGTTTAATGGCTTGGGAGAATCAAGTCTAGCATAAACTGTGACCAGATCAGTTCCGAAGGAAATTATCTAAATATCCTTCATAAAGGGTCAGGACAGTTGTTAAATGTGCTCATTGTAAAAATGCAATCCTTTGAGAAGTTTTGATGAGTTTCTCCCTTTTTAAAGCATTATTAACTGGTTAAAAGTTATTGTAAAATAGAGCCAGCAGAGGGTGCCAAAATGATGCAAGCTGGCAAGTTCCAGTCCTTGCTGTTAGAAGACTGTGTGCATAGAAAGAGTTCTTCAGACACTGTAAAGTGGTGTCTTCATTGCTTCAGTATACAAATGCATTTTTCGTCAGACCATACTGTCTGGTGAATTGGTTCTGCATATTTCCACACATGTCAGCTGGTATCTGGGAGAACTCTAAATTAGCTCCCAACTGCACAGGTAGTATTGCTTCATTCAGTGTGTGTTTGGTTGTCATGGATACTAGTTGAGTACCTGTGGCACCACTGGAGTGGAATGACACCATTCCTCCTGCCCCGCCCACCCTCACCTCTGGTGACTTGAACAGTTTGGAAAGTTTCACTTACTATTGTGAAGGGTGTGAGCATATCCACTATAATGAAGTAACATTTGAAAAAGAAATGCAATGGCAACAATCATGTCACTGCCCCTCAACCCATGCTAGAGCAACGTAGAAACTAGGTGAAGAAATTGTTCATCGTTATTGCACAAAAATTGGGACGATGCTGCTCTCCAGACATGTTTGAACTGTAATATTAATCAGCCATGGCTAGAATAATAAATTATGATAGAAGTTCAGTCCAGGAGCATCTGGTGAGCCACACGTCTCCATGCCAATGTATTCCTTTAAAGAGAGAGAGAGAGACGTACTGTTCACTCACCAACATTTACCATTTGTTTATATAATAATAATAATAGTAGTAGTAGTAGTAATAGTAATAACAACAACTACTACTTTATTTCTAGACCCCCCTCTCTCCCGTGAAGGACTCGGTGCAAGTTACAAGTAAAAAGGCAAACATTCAATGCCTAACAGCACTCCATGCAGTCATGCTAGCCACATGACCTTGGAGGTGTCTATGGACAACGCCTGCTCTTCGGCTTACAAATGGAGATGAGCACCCCCCGAGGCGGACCTGACTAGACTTAATGTCAAGGGAAATCTTTATTTGTACCTTTCAATGCCTCAAAATCGAATCATAGAATCATAGAATCAAAGAGTTGGAAGAGACCTCATGGGCCATCCAGTCCAACCCCCTGCCAAGAAACAGGAATATTGCATTCAAATCACCCCTGACAGATGGCCATCCAGCCTCTGCTTAAAAGCCTCCAAAGAAGGAGCCTCCACCACACTCCGGGGCAGAGAGGTACCGACACATCAAATAATACAGAATAATGAAGAGTAACATCAGAAAACTTAAAGGAATTAAGCATCAAAATAAAATAAATACAAAAGCAATCCATTAAGACATAAAAATGGAAAATAAATAAACATTACAGTGTACACCCTAAAAACAAATTGAGACATTACATTAAAAATGGCTGGCAACGATGTTTAATCTAAGATGTATCATAAGAGACAGCTTATGTGTGCCTTATCTACCAATCTTATGCGTGTGGTTGTGTTTTCCAGCAAGCCTGTGGTTATGAGTTTACTAGCAAGTTGCATCGAATGTATACCGACATGAGTGTGAGTGCAGACCTTAACAACAAGTTCAACAACTTCATCAAAAATCAAGACACTGTCGTAGATTTGGGAATTAGTTTTCAGATATATGTTCTTCAGGTAATAAGGCGCATGTATGTGTTTTGAATCATGTAATGCGTATTGCATATGTGTAATGGAGTTAGTGCAGGTGTTTACACTCAACTATGATGATTCTTTTCAGTGATTCTGTGTTCAGCTACATAACCATCAAAAATCACCACCTACAGTATAGGTGATATTATGATACCCTGGATTATTTGAACACGTCATGTATCTCAGTAATTCCTATTTGTAAGCAAACGTGTGAAATATGAGAGTATATTCTGGCATGCCTCCTATTTTGTTCAAGGACTAAATGCTAAATCATACTGACACACTTCTACAAAAGAGATGCATAACGCAGAAGTACATCCTATCATATGGACAAATTGGCTTGAACACTTAGTTGGAATTCCGTATTGTTGCCTATGCTCTGTGATTCATCAGGAACATATTAGAATTGAAACTATATTCTGTCTTGCATAGGACTGTATGTGTTTGGGGCTTGATTCACTTCTGTAACCCTCACGCTTTCCCCAGTGGTTCTCTTCACTTCTGTCCAGTTGAGGAACCCTCAGCAGATAAGCACAATAGAACAGACAAAGGAAAAGATGCCATAGAATAGTGTATCCCCATAATACTAATAGGTCCATTAGAACAACTTCCTTTGTCCATTAAAGCAACCCACATTAACCCATATACAGATTCTTTCTCAAACCAAGAACTCCAACCATATATGTTGACACTAGAAAAGGAAACAGGGACAAAAATGATATGTGGGATCATATAGAAGGTGTCTCAAACTGGCTGTTTCTCCTCCTAAGAAGAGCAAGATGGCCAGTGTTGGGCTGCATTAGGGCGAGCAATAGGGAGAAATGTTGTTGCTACAAGATAGCATTGTAAGTGCACAACGTGGCTTTCCTTGTATCCCACTTGCTAGCTTGCTACCATTCACCTGTACCAAAGTAAAATCCCTACGCTAATTTGGCCAGTTTCTTTATTGGAGCTGGTGGGCTACCATCTTGTCTTTTGTCTCTTGTCTACGGCATCTTGTCCTGGCTGTTTCTGGGTATTATTTCTGTGTTAGCCCACTCCTTGCTTGTATATTAGATGCAAATAAACTTTTATCCTGCAGAAGAAACAAGATTGGTTCCCTTAACAGCTGGCTTGTGCAGTCAGGAAAGCAGGGGTTTCCTTCTTCCACACTACATTTATTAATCAGTGGGGAACAAAACTTTGGTATTTTTAAAAGAGGTTTTCTGGAATTTCATGGGCTGTGTCATTATTTCAAGTGAGGTTGCTATTAATAACACTAATTCTCACTCACCTATCATAGTTTTGGATTCATTTTTAGAAATAACAGCTGCTTTACTTTCTTTGTAAAACTAGGTTCTGTGACCAATAATTATTTAATGTTTTACATTTTCAGGCTGGAGCATGGCCTTTGACTCAGGCGCCTTCATCTACATTTGCAATTCCTCAGGAACTGGAAAAAAGTGTACAGATGGTAGGTTAGTAGGAGATTTCTTGCAGATTAATAGCAAGTGGTATTAAGATGGGGCTTGGAAAACTTAATCAGTCTTACCATAGAAGTCATCTACATTATGTTTAAATCATGCAACCTTGTTAAGTTTTGGGGTCTTCCCAGACTCCTCTTTGCTGGTTCTATATGTTTTAATGAGAAGGTGATTCTAGTGTGGTGTGTTTCTAATACTGCCATCAAAATCTCTTATCCTGGAATGTTTGGAGGATATTGTTTTGAAGAAGGTGAGACGGTTAACATTTTCATGTAGGCTTGTATTTTAGAAAGTTCACAGGCCTCTTTAAATCCTGTTTGAATTGTAGTGCTACCCAATATGAAATATAACATCCAGTAATTCAAGGAATGAAAAATTGCTACATCATATGATGAGAATATTCTGCCTTCCAGGCACTGTTTGGTGAATGGTATTCTACCGTACATTTCATGGAATATATTCATTTCATAGACATGTGCTTATCAGTGTACATTGAAAGAAACTTGTTGAATCACAATGGTGCCAGACTACAGCGGCAGTGTTGTGATTCAGTGTAATCTACCACTTGGTGATGAAGTCACACAGCATTTGTCATCAGAAAGTTCTTAATGTTCAGTTGGATTTTCCTTTCTTATAATTTAAACTCATTCTTTCAGCTCCTATATTCAAGAGCTTGCTTTGTCTTTCATGTGAAGCCTTTATTTCAAGACAACTATCATACCACTCCTGTCTTCTCTCTTCTAGACTAAACAGATATGGGGAGGGTGACCAAGATGATAAAAAGCTTGGCTTGCCACATCCTGTTCTATGTGGGTCACCCTCCAACTTACTTGTTGCCTCTGCTTTCTTCCGTCTCCCTTCAAGATAGATACATAGCTGCTTAAATTGTTTTGGGCTTATGTCATAGGGGTGCACAAAGTTTAGCAAGAAGAGTTCAGCCATGAGCATCTGGCTGTCATTAATGATGAATAGATAAACAGCTTTAACAGTCAGAAGAAATTGATTTGTTGTAAGCATTGTTGACATTTTTAATAAACAGGCTGCCTCATGAATGCCAATAAGATCACTGGATGACATGTTGGATTTCAAAGTAGTTTAGTTTGGTGTAGCTGTATTTTATATATCTGACTAGCATTCAGAGCCAGTATGGCATCGCGGTTTGAGTGTTGGATTAGGGTTCAAATCCCTGCTTGGCAAGTTACATTTTCTCAGCCTCAGTGGAAGGCAAAGGAAAATGTATCTGAGCAAATCTTGCAAAGAAATTGTCATGATAGGGTTACCTTAAGGTCACCATAAGTTGGAAATGGCTTTAACAACAACAACAACAACAACAACAACAAGCATAATTCAGATACTCCTTGCTAATTTTACTATTTGCAAAACATTGTAACTCCTTTTTATAAAACAATGATGGTAAACACTTTGCTCTCCAGACGACCTGGACTTTCACCTTCTAGAACAGTTATCCCAACCTGTGGTCCATGGACCACCAGCAGTCCACAAGAACGAAAACATGGTCTGCGGCCTCCCCATTACTACACTGTTGCCTCAAAACTACATGACAACGAGAGCGACTGGTCTCACGAAACTCTCTTATAGTGCTGAGGCAACAGGGATGTTGGGAAGGGAGAGGCTGACTAGCCACAAAAGATTACTACTACCAAATCAGCTGTAGATTATTAAACATGGTTTTCTGTGGACAAGCAGATGGTGACTACTGGATTGCATATGTTCTGTATCAGAAACTAGAGCTGATGTGGTCTGTCCAATGCAATTTTCTGAATCAGCACCCCAAATAACCAAACCGAATCTAAAGTTGACCAAAAACTGATTTGTAACCCTTTTGGTACTAATGTTGGAGAGTGGTCCCTGGTCAAAGTGGTCCTTGATCATATGGTTTCTTGTTAAAAAAAAAAGATTGGGGACCACTGTTCTAGAAGCATCTTACTGAACATGGCCGGTTGTAATAAAAATATTGGAAGTAGAAGTAAAAAACAGGCAGCCCAAAATGTTTCTCACCACAGTGCCTAGGAAGGTACCTTGCAATACAGCATTCAGGTCCCTGTCTTCTGTAATATCTGGCCCTAAATTTTGAAAGACCTACATCACTGCTGCTTTATGTTTCTCTCCTTTGAACCCTTTCCATTCCTTACAAAGTATGGCCCTCTTTGTATACATTTGTGTGTGAGAGAGATAGGGAGAGCTTCAGAGAAAATCATTTTCTCTGTATGATAAACCTTTCCCTGGAAACATCTACATTCTTAATAATAAGAATGGGAAGAGCCCGATATTGGGAGACAAATCCCAAAAAATTGGACCTAATATGCCTGTGTGTTGTGTTGTTACGTACAAATAAATCTATAGTAATGATAATAATAATTTTATTTCTTACCCTCCTCTCCTCGAAACGGGTTACAGAATAATTAAAACACATAAACATTTAATAATTGCCACAAATACATATATTAAAATGTATTCATATAAAAGATACATATCAAACATTTTTCTATAAAATACATAGTAAACTACACAAAACAGATTAAACAAAGGACACGAGATTATCTTTGTTAGACTACCACCACCTTTCGTTTTCACCACAGAACTCCAGTACAAGAGTGCTTCCTTCTATTTCATTTCATGCACAATTGACTTTAGTGATGACAAATGTCATCTTCATGCCTTTTTTTTGGGGGGGGGGGGTGACCCAGAATGTTTGGTTAATAATTTTGTTCCTTTTATTAGTAATCACAATATGTTTTTTTTTGTTTTTTGTGTACAACTTGCATATTAGGCAAGGATTTCTTGTTCCAGGTCCCTTTTTGCTTTAGGCCAATTTTTGGGGAAAAAATGCCCCAAAATGTGCCATTCATCTTTAAATAAAATGTTGTTTGTGGTGTGCTCTGTATTAGCGATTTATTACCAGGTTCTCTCAAGAACTTCTTCAGATTTTAACTCAAGTGAGTATCTTAATTCATATCAGTGACATCAAGGGAAGAAGCCCCTCTGTTTCCAAATGACAAGTTAAATGAAAAGAATGTAGTCAGTTTTGTGCTTTTTCGGTTCTTATATATTTTGCCTGAGGACTTCCTCTCATATCTCTAAAGAAATCTATCTGTCTTTAGTCTTAAAATTCCTTGCACTGTTGACAGTGCAGAAAAATTCTCCAGTGAAATTAATTAGAAATATTTCTGCTGGAGAAGCTATTCTGTCTCCAGAGAAATTTAGAAACAGTTTAACTTTCCCCTTCACTAAAGACACCTTTATCATTTTCTCTCTCTTTTTTTCCTAGAAGCATCAAGATTTGTAGGTTAGGCATAGTTCGCTAATAGAGCCATCCTCCAGTCTTTAAGTCTCTGTTGGTCAATGTTGGTGTTAAATGTGGATTCTTTTATAGTTCGCAATAATCTCCCAAGAGTTCAGAGTGCTCTCTGCCTTCATAGACTGGCATCTGATGTCAAAACATGTGAAATTTCCATTTGCCTTAGTTGCAAGTCCAAAACATTTGAGCAGTGGCAGGCATGACAGATTTAATTGAGAAGGTCTATTGAGAACTATGGGCCACTTCACATCAGATGACCACCAGATCTACTACTGCGGACAAGAGGAACATCGAAGAAATGGAATAGCCTTCATAATTAATAAGAAATTCGCTAAAGCGGTGCTTGGATACAACCCAAAAAATGACAGAATGATCTCAATTCGAGTGCAAGGAAAGCCTTTCAACATTACAGTGATCCAAATATACGCCCCAACCACAGCTGCTGAAGAAGCAGAAGTAGATCAGTTCTATGAGGATCTGCAGGACCTACTGGATAATACACCAAAAAGAGACATTATTTTCATTACAGGAGACTGGAATGCCAAGGTGGGAAGTCAAATGACAACTGGGATCACAGGCAAGCATGGTCTGGGAGAACAAAACGAAGCGGGACGCAGGCTGATAGAATTTTGCCAGGAAAACTCGCTGTGTATAACGAATACTCTCTTCCAACAACCTAAAAGACGGCTTTACACATGGACCTCACCAGACGGTCAACACCGAAATCAGATTGACTACATCCTTTGCAGCCAAAGGTGGCGGACATCCATCCAGTCGGTGAAAACAAGACCTGGGGCTGACTGTAGCTCAGATCACGAACTTCTTATTGCCCAATTTAGAATAAAACTAACAAGATCAGGGAAAATACACAGACCAGTTAGATATGATCTCACTAACATTCCTAGCGAATATACAGTGGAAGTGAAGAACAGATTTGAAGGATTAGATTTATAAACAGAGTCCCAGAAGAACTATGGACAGAAGTCCGAGACATTGTTCAGGAGGCGGCAACAAAGTACGTCCCAAAGAAAAAGAAAACCAAGAAGGCAAAATGGTTGTCTGCTGAGACACTGGAAGTAGCCCAAGAAAGGAGAAAAGCAAAAGGAAACAGGGATAAGGGGAGATATGCCCAGTTAAATGCGCAATTCCAGAGGTTAGCCAGAAGAGATAAGGAACTATTTTTAAATAAGCAATGCATGGAAGTGGAAGAAGACAACAGAATAGGAAGGACAAGAGACCTCTTCCAGAAAATTAGAAACATTGGAGGTAAATTTCAGGCAAAAATTGGTATGATAAGAAACAAAGATGGCAGGGACCTAACAGAAGCTGAAGAGATCAAGAGAAGGTGGCGAGACTATACAGAAGAGCTGTATAGGAAGGATAATAATATTGAGGATAGTTTTGACGGTGTGGTGAATGAATTAGAACCAGACATCCTGAGGAGTGAGGTTGAATGGGCCTTAAGAAGCATTGCTAACAACAAGGCAGCAGGAGACGACGGGATCCCAGCTGAACTGTTTAAAATCTTAAAAGATGATGCTGTCAAGGTGATGCATGCCATTTGCCAGCAAATATGAAAACACAAGAATGGCCATCAGACTGGAAAAAATCAACTTATATCCCCATACCAAAAAAGGGAAATGCGAAAGACTGCTCAAACTTCCGTACAGTGGCCCTTATTTCTCATGCCAGTAAGGTAATGCTCAAGATCCTGCAAGGAGACTCCAGCAATACATGGAGCGAGAGTTGCCAGATGTACAAGCTGGGTTTAGAAAAGGCAGAGGAATGAGACCAAATTGCCAATATCCGCTGGATAATGGAGAAAGGCAGGGAGTTTCAGAAAAACATCTACTTCTGCTTCATTGACTATTCTAAAGCCTTTGACTGTGTGGATCATAATAAATTGTGGCAAGTTCTTGGTGGGATGGGCATCCCAAGCCACCTTGTCTCTCTCCTGAGGAATCTGTACAAGGACCAAGTAGCAACAGTCAGAACTGACCACGGAACAACAGACTGGTTCAAGATTGGGAAAGGCGTACGGCAAGGCTGCAGACTCTCACCCAACCTTTTTAACTTGTATGCAGAACACATCATACGATGTGCGGGGCTTAATGAATGCAAAGCTGGGGTGAAAATTGCTGGAAGAAACATTCACAACCTCAGATATGCAGATGACACCACTCTGATGGCCGAAAGCGAGGAGGAGCTGAGGAGCCTTCTAATCAAGGTGAAAGAAGAAAGCGCAAAAGCCGGGTTGCAGCTAAACGTCAAAAAACCAAGATTATGGCAACAAGAATGATTGACAACTGGAAAATAGAGGGAGAAAACGTTGAGGCAGTGACAGACTTTGTATTTCTAGGTGCAAAGATTACTGCAGATGCAGACTGTGGCCAGGAAATCAGAAGACGCTTACTTCTTGGGAGGAGAGCAATGTCCAATCTCGATAAAATAGTAAAGAGTAGAGACATCATACTGGCAACAAAGATCCGCCTAGTCAAAGCCATGGTATTCCCTGTAGTAACCTACGGATGTGAGAGCTGGACCTTAGGGAAGGCTGAGCGAAGGAAGATCGATGCTTTTGAGCTGTGGTGTTGGAGGAAATTGCTGAGAGTGCCTTGGACTGCGAGAAGATCCAACCAGTCCATCCTCCAGGAAATAAAGCCCGACTGCTCACTGGAGGGAAAGATACTAGAGACAAAGTTGAAGTACTTTGGCCACATCATGAGGAGACAGGAAAGCCTGGAGAAGACAATTATGCTGGGGAAAGTGGAAGGCAAAAGGAAGAGGGCCCGACCAAGGCAAGATGGATGGATGGCATCCTTGAAGTGACTGGACTGACCTTGAGGGAGCTGGGGGTGGTAACGGCCGACAGGGAGCTCTGGCGTGGGCTGGTCCATGAGGTCACGAAGAGTCGGAGACGACTGAACGAATGAACAACAACATTGAGAACTGGTGAAAAAAAAGTGTCCAGATATCTGTAGCATTGAATTTCTCAAGAAGTCTCCTTCTAAATATGCTTCCTGAACTCTAGCATTGTTAGCTAAAATTGTAACTTGAAATATCCTTGAGTTTTCTGCTTTAGGGTTGCTTCTTTTTTTCTCATAGTATCTACTGCCATGTGAGTATTTGTTTGTGGAGCAGGGAAGCAGTTACAGCTTTGACTTTTTACTATGGCAAAAGGTATTTTTGCAGTGGTAAAAATACAATATTTACAAGTTATAAGACAATATAGCAGATTAAAGTTGGTTGTTTTAGTGCTTGGAAAATCTACTTTTCAGTGAATATCATAGGGTTTTCTTAGGCAAGGAATACTCAGTTTTGTCTGTTCTATCCCCTGAAATATAGCCTACAGCACCTGGTATTCACTGATTGTCACTCATCCAAATACTAACCAAGGTTGCTCTTGCTTAGCTTCCAAAGTCAGATGGAATCTGGTGTCTTTAAAGCTCCACCACCACCATAACTATTTAGCTACATTTCAGTTACTAGAATGTCAACAGGTGATATCAACTAGATGCTTTTCCAATTTCCTAGTGAATATAATGCAGAAGGGAACAGGGATCTAGGCAAGAAAGCAAGCTGAATGTAGACTATAAAAAAGGTTTATACCAAGGATGATTGTGATTGAAAGTTGTAAACAAAATCTTGAAGTCGACTGCTTTGCTCTTTTCATGTAGGGAGGGGATAGAGGTCTATGTTGTAAGAGGAAAATTAGTGTGCTTCCAGACAGGACTAAAATCTACACCATGCAGTGCCACCCCCCAAAAAGCAGTCTTTCCTGGAGGGAGGGGTTACATGCCATCCTGATTAAAATCTCTGAAGCCCCCCAGTTTACCCGTAAAAATAAAGTAAAAACTACCTGGCCGCCATAAGTTCCCTCCTGGCACCAAGACATTGGGGGGGGGGGGGGCGAGGAGGAAAACTACCTCTCCCCCCCCCCTTTCCTGGTTTGTCATTTCCTCAGCTTGTTCCAAAAATAATTTGGTTTTACTGGAGGTGTCATTTGGATGCCTCCATAAAACAGACACAGGTCCCAGGATATAGGCCTGTCTGGTAGAGCCCTTAGTTGTATACATTTGACTGAAATATATTACATGCAGACTCTGGAAATAGTTTAGAAAGTTTGTAAGGAATGTCAGTTTACCTAAATCAGTGGTTCTCAACCTGGGGTCCCCAGATGTTTTTGGCCTACAACTCCCAGAAATCCCAGCCAGTTTACCAGCTGTTAGGATTTCTGGGAGTTGAAGGCCAAAAACATCTGGGGACCCCAGGTTGAGAACTACTGACCTAAATGCTGATAGATAGATAGATAGATAGATAGATAGATAGATAGATAGATAGATAGATAGATAGATAGATAGAAAACAGTTCTATCCTATACCTTGGGTTATATAGTAGAAAATTAAAAGAGATTATGTCTATACAATTATAGAGTTATAACAGACCACAAGGGCCTTCTAGTCTAATTCTCTGACATGAAAGAATAACACAAATCACTCATACACCTTCTCTTTTTTTTTTTTAAAAAAAAAAACTCTCTAAAGAAGGAGATTCCACCCCATTACTAGGCAGTGTATGCCACCATTTAATAGCTTTTACCACCAGGATGATCTTTCCAATGTTTAGGTGGAATCTCCTTTCCTGTAGTATGACTCTATTGACCTGTGTCTAGTCTCTGAAACAGCAGAAAACAAGCTAGCTCCATCTTCAATATGGCATTCTGTTTAAGTATTATTACCATCCATATAAATTGGCACAAGTAACACCTATCCTGTTTCAATGAGATATTCAAGACCTTGCTCAAACTGAATTAAAGTATTGGGATTGACATCTGCACACAATGAAAGCGGTCAAAACCCCTATGCTCGTTGAGTGATACCATTGGATATAAGACAGAGAACAATGTGACTCATTCACAGATTGCAGCCTAAATGTGAAAGTAATTGTTTAAATTAAGAATTTTAAGCTTTTCACAATCAGACTGAATTTTGCTCCAGATGTTGTTTGTCCTTGTTAAGCCTTCTAATGAAGCAGTGTGGGATCCATATGTTACCAGCATAATACCACCAGACATTCTAGAGCAGGCTTTGATGAATTTCAAGGAATGTGACTTAGGTTTTTGTGTACTCCCCTGGGGCTAGATGAAGCCACATAATGAATGGTAACGAGGAACTGATGAGCAAATTGTTATTTGACATCAGCTTTCTTGCAGATTTTGCCGAATTGAAATGTTAGCCACAGTCTTAATAAGGGCTTAACATGGTGCTATTTAAAATGTCATTTTAATCAGTGATTTGCTTTCTAAATCCTGCTTTCTAATTTATTTGATCAGTGGAAATTAACTAATGTACTTAGAATTTAGATAGAATTTGCCCTTTTTTCTGAGCTCATTTCAAACAATCTTCAAAGAAAAAAAAGGAGACTCTGAAATTGAAAGTCTGCTAAGCTTTTTCTCCTTTCAAACCCCTGGTTAGCAGTGGGAGATGGCCCCAATAAATTACAACCCCCCGAGGACCGAGAATTAAATTAGACCTAGTTTTTGATGTTTCAGTAATCTTCACTGTAGGTATCAATTTTATTTAATGAGTCATTAATGTAATTAATAGATGATAAATATATCTGAATGTGAAAGATTTGAAACACATTTTTGAGCTCTAGGGCTAAAACCGTCAATTAAGATGTATGTGTTACACTTAACTGGGATCAAACACTAGACATTTGTAAAGTAAATGTATTTAAATATTGTATAATTAATGAATAATGAGATTTATCTTACACAATCAGCATAGCTAGAACCCATTTTCTTTTAAAAATTGCAATATCCTAAGTAATAGAGCGCTCTTAGCCACAGAGGCAAACCCCCTTAGAAAATCCCATGCTGGATTCATCATTGGGTCGCCATAAGTTGGGGAAGAAATTTAAGGCACACAACAACATCAAGTGTGACAGTTACGTTATAGATAATAATCTTATGGTTTCTGGAACACACACTTCTGTTCTTAATGTACTTTGCTTATAAGTTGATATTTTGTAGTTACGTGAATAACAGGTTCCCTTGTGCCAGCACAACTGCTAACCAAAAGGTCAGTGGGAGTTGGGTGAGCTCCTATCTGTCAGCTCCAGCTTCTCATGCGGGGAAATGAGAGAAGCCTCCCATAGGATGTTGAAGCATCCGGACATCCTATGAGCAATGTCCTTGGAGATGGCCAGTTCTCTCACACCAGGAGCAACTTGCAGTTTCTAAAGTCACTCCTGACACGAATGGGAAAAAAGGGTTCCCAAAGACCTGTAATAAATTAATGTTTGTTATATTTTTGAATGTTGTTCTGAATTAGCCAAAATTACTTATCTTGAGATATTTGGCTGAAGACTTGATGTCTTAAAATCTTTGTCCTAAAGAATGATTTTGTTTTACAGTTTGAATTATTTTACAGTCAACATTTCAGCGGGAGGAAGCTTACCTGGTTACACTATCTTTGTACAGGTAAATAGAACATTCATGTTTTCATCTTCTGAAACTTTTTATGCAGTGCTCATTTATATCAGGCAAATGAGCTTTCCTTAATGCAACGGTTCCCAGCCTGGGGTCCATGGGCCACCAGTGGTCCTCAAAAACTAAAATATGGTCTGCGGCCTCACCTTTAGTACACTATTGCAATGAGAATGACTGGTCTCGCAAAACCCTTTTATAGTGCTAAGGCTTATTAAATATGTTTTTCTGTGGGCAAGCAGATGGTGGCTTCTGATATGTTCTGTATCAGAAACTAGAGCTGATGTTATCGATCCTATGAAATTTTCTGAATCAGCACCCCAAATAACCAAACCGAATCTAAAGTTGACCAAAAATTGATTTGTAACCCTTTTGGTACTAATGTTGGTTCCTGGTCAAAAAAAGGTTGGGAATAAGTGCCTTAGTGAAACCTATATGACCTTAACTTAAAGAGACCTTTAAATTATTTTCCCTGAAACAGTTAATAGTGTTTATAGTTTTCTGTCAACTTTTTGCCTATATGTTTTATTATTTAGCCTCTTTATATTATAGAAGAATATTTTTCAAAAAAGAGTTATTTTTAATTATCACCATTTGAAAAATACTGATATAATATTTAGCTTGAAGAAAGGTTAAATGCAATAACATTCAGGTAGAGAATGCAGGCTCGGCATAATTAAATGCTAAATAATGATTTGGCTGCCAACATTAGATAGGCCTTGTGAAGAAAGAAGTTTGAAAATGTCAGGTAGAAGGATCCCAGGGAAAGTCTTGTGAAAAAAGGAAAGTAATGAAGGATTACAGAAGAGTGAAATTGAAGTTGCTTGTTTCAGGTATTACTATACAAAGTAGTTGAGCACAGCTCCTATAGTACACACAATCCATGGCTTGTTCCAAAATAATAATTGCTTTTAAATTGCCTCTTAGTATGGTTCTGGCCCAGCTTACCTGTCCAAACATATCTCCCGCTATGAACCATCTCAGAGGTTAAGATTGTCTGGGGGGGCCCTGCTCTAAGTCCCACCTCCTTCACAGATATGGTTGGTGAAGACAAGAGACAGGGCCTTCTCAGTGGACCCTTGGCTGTGGAACTCCCTTCCTAGCAAAATCCAGTCAGCTCCCTCCCTCCTGACCTTTAGGAAGAAATTAAAAACGTGACTGTGGGACCAAACCATTGGATAATAATGCAGTGCAATAAGTGAAGTTGGAATATGTGCAGTAATGACTGGAACAGCTCCTGAAACATGATTGCGTGATTTTAATAATTGTTTTTAATATTTATATGTTTTAATTCTATGTTTTAATCTATATGTTTATTTGTTTACATGTTTGTTTTATATAGGTAAAGATAAAGGTAGTCCCCTGACATTAAGTCCAGTCATGTCTGACTCTGGGGTGTGGTGCTCATCTCCATTTCTAAGCCGAAGAGCCAGCGTTGTCCGTAGACACCTCCAAGGTCATGTGGCCGGCATGACTGCATGGAGCGCCGTTACCTTCCCGCCGAAGCGGTACCTATTGATCTACTCACATTTGCATGTTTTCGAACTGCTAGGTTGGCAGAAGCTAGGGCTGACAGCGGTAGCTCACGCCGCTCCCCGGAATCGAACCTGCGACCTTTCGATCAACAAGCTCAGCAGCTCAGTGCTTTAACCCACTGCGCCACCTGGGCATTGAATTATTGTCCACTGTAAAGCTGCTCTGAGTCCCCTTTGGGGTGAAAAGGGTGAGGTGTAAATACAATAAATAAATAAATAAAATTCAGTAATGCATTCTAACTGTAGTATATTTCAGTTATTAGAATGCTTTACTTCTCTTGGCCCCCCTGGTGGCGCAGCAAGTAAAACTGCTGAGCTGCTGAACTTGCTGACCGAAAGGCTGGTGGTTTGAATCTAAGGAGCAGGGTGAGGTCCCGCTGTTAGTCCCAGGTTCTGCCAACCTAGCAGTTCAAAGACATGCAAATGTGAGTAGATCAATAGATACCTCCTTGGCAGGAAGGTGCTCCATGCAGTCATGCTGGCCGCGTGACCTTGGAGGTGTCTACAGACAATGCCGGCTCTCTGGCTTAGAAATTGAGATGAGCACCACCCCCCAGAGTCAGACATGACTAGACTTAATGTCAGGGGAAAGCTTTACCTTTACTTATCTTACCTGAGTTTTCTTCACAATAGTTTTACAAAGTAGGTTTGTTTACTAAATCAGAAAAGGTCTGAATCTAAGGCCAGGTTTTGGACTGGTTGATGTTTCCCCTTAAACTACTAAAACAGAAGAAGCAATGCCACATTTTATATGTAATATCGTAAGCTGTGTATTAAAATAATGCATAAAATGTGTAACTGATTTGCAGGTGAAGTCAAAATGAATTATTTGTGCAAACCATATGTAGCCATGGTGACGACCTACCAAATGGCAGTGCTGCTTGCTTTCAACAATAGTGAAACAGTGAGTTACAAAGATCTTCAAGACAGCACTCAGATGAATGAGAAGGAACTGACAAAAACGATCAAGTCCTTACTTGATGTCAAAATGATCAACCATGATTCAGAAAAGGTATGTCAAAGAAAAGGGCACTGAATTTATTTGTTAAAATATCTTTGTTTCTCTTATTTGCATTTCTAACCTTTTTGGGGGGGGGGGGCGGTGGGGTTGGAGTATCAAAGCATATTGGCAGAGACTTTTTTTGGAACTGCTTGATACAGATACAGTTATTCAGAGCCTGCATAGAAAAAAGATATCCATTCACCACATCCCATATGTCTGTTAATGAAAACTGCAAAGGTAGTACACAGTCCTGAAACATATTTTGAGTTATGATTCTCAAACATCAGATCCTACACAGGAAGCAAATGGGTTTGGATGTTCAGGGATGGCTTTACATTGAACACAGTGAAGTGGCTGCTCCTAAAGTCTGTTCCTGAGGGAGAGGGATCAAAGTCAGGTTTGGGGAGAGAGCTGTGGATGCTACATGGCCTAGCACACATTCCCTAAACCAGTGGTGTCAGACATTTAGTCCTCCAAGTGTTTTGGACTTCAGCTCCCAGAATTCCTTATTATTGGACAAGCTGGCTAGAGTTTCTGGAAGTTAGAGGCCCAAACATCTGAAGGGCCATAAGCCATATTTGCCATAAATTAACCCATCACCCTTGGTGCCAAGGAGAATTTGTCCTTTTGCCATCATTAAGGTAACACACAACTCTCAGTTTGGAATTAGGAGGGGTCCCATGTTCTCCCTTTTTTTTGTAAAATAATTTTATTATTATGAACAAAGTATAAAAAGTATTTTAAAAAGATAAAAATAAAGTATAGGAGAAAGAACATTTAAAGTGGGGGAACATTGTAATTAAAGAAAAGTAGGAAATTGCAAAAAAGCTTTAAGCAAGTCCTTAAAGCTACATCTTCCTCATAGGTTGAAGAGGGATTTTTTGCAAGGAAAGATACATCTCTTCCATAACCTCTTTAAATGCAACTTTAGAAATACTTTTTCTCTAGAACTATTTCTTTCATGTGAAAATTAAATAGGACATGGATATTTTCCTGAAGATTGGCAGCCACGTTTCTAACTGGGGCACCCTTCAGGGAGTGAACAACTCCTCTGCAGCTCCACTGGCTGCCGGTCTGCTTCTGGGCTAAATACAAAGTGCTGGTTATGACCTATAAAGCCCTAAACGGTTTGGGCCCAAACTATTTGAGAACCCGCATCCAGACTTACAATTCCATTCGGCCACTGCGATCATCTGAGGAGGCCCTCCTCTCAGTCCCACATCTGGTGGGCACGAGAGAGAGGACCTTCTCTGTGGTTGCTCCGGCTCTCTGGAACACCCTCCCTATTGAAGTGGGAACAGCCTCTTCCCTCCCCTCCTTTAAAACTCATCTATGCTCCGTAGCCTATAGAGGAGCAGATGAATATTGGGGAAAAAACAGCCTTCTCCTTACTGCTTTTTTACTAAGGGATAACACACTGTAGGCCCACTTCATACATATAGGTATGAAGTGGCCCTACAGTGTGTTATCCCTTAGTAATTCCATCTGAATAGTACTTTAGGAGTACTATAGTACTTTAGCACTTCAGGAGTCCCAAACGTCACCTCTCCCATAGCAATTATTTTATATATGCTTTTAATTATGATCTGTATTTTATCGTTTAATTGTGTTATGTTTTTTATGTATACAGTAGAGTAGAGTCTCACTTATCTGATATACAGTAGAGTCTCACTTATCTGATATAAACGGGCCTGCAGAACATTGGATAAATGAAAATGTCTGATAGTACGGAGTCTCCTACTGTTACCCGTCTGACACCGCACTAGACACCTAGAATATTAACGACGGGGACTTAAAGGTTTAAGGCAAGGCAACGCCTCAGGGCTAAAGTGGCCCAGCAGGAAGTTCCCAGATGCGCAACAGGAGGGAGAAATCACACAGAGAAGGAGGGAGGATGCTTCCACTTCCAATCCTGCCTGTTGTCCTCCCTCCTCCTCCTTGTCTCGACTTTTTCATTTATTGGGAATGGAAAGAGAGTTGGGAAGCGCTCCTTTGATTGAAAGGGGAATGCTGGAGGAAAAGGGGGGAATCAGATAAAGAGTGTTGGATAAGACAGAAAATTCAGATAAGCGAGACTAATATATTTGCTTCTGTTTTTATGATTGTATATGGCATTGAATATTTGCCTTTTGTATGTGTAAACTGCCCCGAGTCTCTTCGGGGAGAGAGGGCAGATTAGCAATAAATTATTGTTATTGTTATTATTATTATTAAACATTTTACTTGGATTGTAATAATTGTCTAACAATTTGAAGAAGGATTGGTGTTCATTTTAGGACACCAGTACACTTGGATTCATTTCAAAACCAATGATATCTATAAAAGATATGTTTGAGTTTGTTGTTTTGTGCCACGCTGTGCTCCATAGGGAAGTTAAATAATTCAAACCTGCCAACTTGAAGTAGTAGTAATGTGTCTGCATTTCAGCAGAGGAGATGTGAGCCATATGTAACTGTTGTTGTTTTCAAGCAAGCCATTCTTGGGGAAACATATGAACTGTTAATGTGTTTGCCACCCATGTGCTTGTGTGTATATGTGTCTGGGAGAGTGTGAAATGATTCATGCCTTTCTCATTGCAGGAGGACATAGAGGCAGAATCTACTTTTTCATTAAATATGAACTTCAGCAGTAAACGAACAAAATTTAAAATCACTACATCAATGCAGAAAGATACACCACAGGCAAGTATTGTTAACAGCTTTCCTTTGATCTGACTCCCAAGTGCAAGGAAGGGCATGGAACTGTAACATTCTAAAAACCAATGAAAATACTTTGGTGTTGGGAAAAGAAGGAATGATGACAGCGAATAAAACAAATAGGGCAGATACATAAATATGAGCACCAAGATACTTTCAAATTGCCATGTCTGAACCTTTCAGGTTATAAACACATCACAGCAATGTCATGTCTCGGACTTGAGTAGAATTTAGCTAAATATGAGCAAGTCTCGATTCAACATTTTCATATTTACCAGAATCTAATAAAACAGATTACAACAGCTGCATAAAACAGCTATATATGAGTTCCTTGGAGGAATAAACGAGAAATATTCCTAAATCCAGAAAAAGTAATACTTTCATAAGAAACAGTTGTACAATTTTTCTGCCATGTTTCTTCTTGATGTTTTTAGTTTATTTATTTATTTGCAACAGTTATATCCTACCCTTCTCACCACGAAGGGGACTCAGGGCACTTACATAAGTGGCATTATTTCATGTCCAAACAACTATTAAAAGCAATTAAACAATAATTTAAAACAACATTAAAACAACATATGTAAACATTAGATGACTATTGTGCATATATCCTAAGTCGGATAATCATGTTCATCAATCCAAAGGCAGTTCCAACTGTATTTCACAGATAAATATGCCAAATGCTTGCTCCCAAAGCCAAGTTTTCACTTGTTTGCAAAATGGCAGGAGGGAAGGGGCTGATCTAATCTCAGCAGGGAGAGAGTTCCACAGCCAAGGGGCCACCACTAAGAAGTCTCTGTCTCTCATTCCCACCAGTTGCACGCAGAAGGAGAGTTCATAGAGGGAGATGAATTCAAACAGGTAATTTGGGCCAGGGTTGTTCAGGGCTTTATAGGCCAAAGCCTGCACCTTGAGCTGGTGCAACAGAGGGGTTGTGTGCTCCATGTATGTCACTCCCGTTAGCAATCTGGCTGCCACATGTTGGACTAGTTGAAACTTCCAAACCATCTTCAAAGGTAGCCCCACTGACAGAACATGAAATCTTTTTTCTAAAGCATGTATGATATCATCCAGTGACTCTTTTCTCAGAAGACCCACTATGTTCAGTGAGGTATACTTCCCAATAAAAGTGTTTAGGATTGCAGACCTAAATCCTATTGTTCATCCCAAATAGAGTAAGTCTAGCTAATGAGTGTGATTTATCTCTTTTGAGTCAGTAGTCGAGCAATTGAATGGCTTTACCAATAGGAGTGCCAATAGGTTTCCAGATAGTGTTTAAATGTCTGATCTCATCTATCATCTACAAATCCTTCTTCATTTTTACTCAGTGTGTACTGCTTTCACGCACACTATAAATTTTGTGTAACACTGTTTTTCAGTGCAAAGAAATGCCTGATATTTTTCAAGAAACATTTCATGGTACTTGTTACTTTGTATTCTGGACATACACTAGATTAGAGCCCCTGGTGGGTTAAAGCACTGAGCTGCTGAGCTCGTTGACTGAAAAGTCGCAGGTTCGAATCCAGGGAGTGGCGTGAGCTTCCGCTGTCAGCCCCAGCTTCTGCCAACCTAGCAGTTCGAAAACATGCAAATGTGAGTAGATCAATAGGTACCGCTTCGGCGGGAAGGTAACGGCGCTTCATGCAGTCATGCCAGCCACATGACCTTGGAGGTGTCTATGGACAATGCTCTTCGGTTTAGAAATGGAGGTGAGCACCACACCCCAGAGTCGGACACGACTGGACTTCATGTCAGGGGAAAACCTTTACCTTAACACTAGATTATGAAAAGTGGCACATTATTACCATTACAAACATTTATTATGGTGTCCAGAAAAACATTGCTTTGCTACATACTTACTACATACTTACACATGGTGTGATGGTTTGAACATTGGACTTCAACTCTGAAGAACAGGCTTTGATTCCCCGCTTAGCCATAGAAACACAATGGTTGACTTTGGAAAAGCCACATTCTCTCAGCCTCAGAAGGCAAAGGCAAAGTCCCTGTAAACAAATTTTACCAAGAAAATCCTGTGATAGATTTGGCTTAGAATCACCATAAGTCTGAAGTGAATTGAAGACACACAACAACAGATACTTACATCACTATGTAGTAGCTGGTCCTGTTACAGTAACAGATTGTACAGAAAATAGTAAAAATGATGGCAGAGCCCCACACACTATTTAAAAGAGATGTTGTTTGTCTTCAGACTGCACTTCCCACTTGAAATAAGATATTTTAAGTTCTAATTTCAGTAAATGCACACTCACATAATTTACATTATCAATCAACTCTCCTTCAAGTAACCTACAATGACTTGGGGTAGGGGAGAAAAGAATTCCCAGATTGCAGTATGGATCTCAATCTCATCAGTTCAGTGTTAGCTAGCAGTTGGTTGTTTCAACATGTTAATAATTACAGCTTCCAAAAGTACAAGGTTTCTGCTTGGAATGTCATTCCTTTCAACCATGTGTCATAACAAATGTCTAGATAAGCTAAAAAATTAATGCCTCCCGAATCTCCTGTTTCATAATGAGCTAAACCTTATCACATTGTACTTGTTACTCCACTGATCCCAAAAAAAGTCCCTGGCAGTACAAAACTGAATGTGCTTATTATAGTTGGGAGTAAAGCTCATCAAGTTCACAAGGAGTCACTTTTTAAAATTGTATTACTCAGAAGTAGGTTAACGTTGTATTGTCTTTGAATGTACACAGAAAGCCTATTTTTAGATAGCTCTGGCATACTGTGAGTTATGTCAACTCAATTCTGTATGTTAGAATTCTCAGAAGTGTCTAGTTCATTGTTCAAAGGAAATTCAATAAGCTACATCGGCTTATTACATCAGCCTTGGTGGCGCAGCGGGTTAAACTGCTGAGTTGCAGAACTTGCTGACTGAAAGGTTGGCAGTTCGAATCCGGGGAGCAGGGTGAGCTCCTGCTGTTAGCCCCAGCTTCTACCAATCTAGCAGTTTGAAAACATGCAAATATGAGTAAAACAATGCCTGGGTTCATTGCATTGCTGTTTCCTTAGCTGTTGTTGCTTGTTTGTATATTGCAGGAGATGGAGCAAACCAGAAGTGCTGTAGATGAAGATAGAAAAATGTACCTTCAAGCTGCTATAGTCCGCATCATGAAAGCACGAAAACTGCTGCGGCACAATGCTCTTATTCAGGAGGTAAGAGAGGATGTGATTTGACATGGTAGGCTTCCTCATAGGAATATTCAGGTGGTAAGAGATTGTGTTGAGGGAGAGAAGGATTTGCTGTAGGGTATCCTGTGATGTTTTGAGTACATTGGAGTTCTGGGTTTTGTAATACATACTATCTTGAACAAATGCCATGGAGGGCACTCTGAATGCTGTGAACCAGTCAATGTCAGGTATTGTGGCATATCTAAAAGACTTTTAGGCTTTTTAAAATGCTGGTAGCCAGATTTTGTTCATTTTCATGGTTTCCTCCTTTCTGTTGAAATTGTCCACATGCTTGTGGATTTCAAAGGCTACCAGTATTAAAAATATCTAAAATCAGGACAATTAACCAAGAGCAACACTCAAAAAAACAGGGGAAATCCAGACAAGAAACAATTAGGGCCAGCTAATCACCTCCCAACAAAGGATCCCCCCGGCAGCAACTAGTCAGGCTTTGAAGCTACAGGGCTATTAAATGCTAATCAAAATGACCAACTTCAACATTCACACTTGCCTCAAGCAGACAAGAGTTCTTTCTCCCACCCTGACATTCCACAGATATATAAACCTCACTTGCCTAGTTTCCAACTGACCTCACAACCTCTGAGGTTGTCTGTCATATATGTGGGTGAAATATCAGGAGAGAATGCTTCTGGAACATGGCTATACGGCATGGGAAACTCACAGTAACCCAATATACAGTCTCTTCATAGTGATATACATATTGTAACATATGGCTCACTTGATATTGCAGATGGTTATATAAAGTATGTGTCTTCCTCTTTTGCACAGGTCATTAGCCAATCAAGAGCTAGGTTTAACCCAAGTATCAGCATGATTAAGAAGTGTATTGAAGTTCTGATTGACAAACAGTACATTGAACGGAGCCAGGCCTCAGCAGATGAGTACAGCTATGTAGCATGAAGTTAATATCCTGCAGATCTGGTTGTACGGAGATCATTGCTGTCACTGCTTGGTGTGTCCTGTGGGGGAAAAAAGCAGGCCTGTTGTGCCTCCATAATTGGTCACTTGGCAGCCCCTGTTTTTTCTGCTGTTTACAACATCACCAGTGCCACGTCATGAGCGTCAATGAAAAACAAGCCTATAGATATCCCAAGCCCATGTCATGACATTTCTTGAAACTTTACTAAAAGAGAGAGTGAATGAAGTCTTGCTGACATGTGGAAATTTTGGTTGGATACCATGCTTCCCCCTTCACTCCCTCCATCCTCCCAGCCCCCCCACGTTTGCAGTTGATGTTTTTTAATGTATCTTAAAAGACAAATGTTAAAACAGACTAAATATTGTAATATGGCAGATAACATAATAATTGTATCTACATTAAAATGTAAAAAGATGATGATACCGCTGCTTGTCAAATAAATAAATGAAATGGAATATCACGTGTGACTTGACTTTGATTCAGAAACAAAGGCTCTTTCAAGGACTACTTCTACATTATTTACTTTCCTTGTACTCAACTACACCCAAGACATGAGTTTTAATTCAGAAGCAAGGCATATTTTACCCAACACTTCACGGAGGTGGATTTGGATGTAAATCTGTATTCTGTTAACTGATGCTACTTATGGCTTACATTGTTTTGGACAGAAGTAATTTAGTCTCTTTTTAAGTAATTTGATGTGGTGTTAAAATATTTGGTACCTGAATAATATGACTCAGATATAATCTGCAATTTGATTTCTGTCACAAGCAAGGTGCAATTGGTGTAACAGGAAATGGCAGGTCTCTGTGAGTTTATACATAGGATTGCCTGTAGGCCCTAAAAAATTCCTAGAGAGGCCAATGTTGAATGCAGGTTGATGAAACTGCAGATACTGGTTCCATGGGTTGGACTATATAAAACAATGTTCAGAGCAGGATGTGTGTGTGTTTATGCGCTTTTCACTGTACAGACCTGTCTTTAAAAATAATGGTGACAAGATACCACTTTCTGGATTTTCCATTTAAAAAACAAAATAATGTCAAGTCATCTCATTTGTGTCATGTGACTTCTATTCATTTCTGGCATGGAGGGTTTTCTTAGCATGATTTGTTCAGAGGAGGCTTCTAAGGCTGAGAGAGTATGACTTTAACAAGGTTACCATATGAGTTAGCATGGTTGAGCAGGGATTCGAACCCTGGTCTCCAAAGTCATGCTCAAACCACTACATCAATGGTTCCCAACCTGTGGTCCATGGACCACCAGTGGTCCCTAAGAACTAAAATATGGTCCATGGTCTCACCGTTACTACACCGTTGCAACAAGAGTGACTGGTCTCGCGAAACCCTCTTATAGTACCGAGGCAACAGGGATGTCAGGAGGGGAGAGGCTGACTACCCACTAAAGGTGTGACAACAAGCCTCCTGATGGATGCTTCCCCTCCCTCCCCTGAGCAGAGCCGTTCCATGTGGCCTTTATGTCTTCATTTTTAGCTCTGTTCCAGGGGTTATATTTTGGAGCCCCCAGTGGCGCAGTGGGTAAAACCGCTGAGCTGCTAAACTTGTTGACTGAAAGGTTGCAGATTCAAATCTGGGGAGTGGTGTGAGCTTCCTCTGTCAGCCCCTGCTTCTTCCAACCTACCACTTCAAAAACATGCAAATGTGAGATCAATAGGCCTGTGCGGTTTCGTTCGTTAATTCGTTATTAATTCGTTATTTTTGGCATTTCCGAAGCGATATCAAAACACATTTTCAAACCCGGAAGGGTTTTAAAATATTGAACCGGCAACCCCCATAGATTTAACGAGCTTCCGCTCGTTTCGTTAATGGGGTGGAGGCTGCTGGAGTGCTGGTGCCTGGGAGCCAATCCGGCGCTCCCAAGCAGTGCCCCGTGGGTCCGTGGCTGTTTGTTTTTGATTGGCCGGCGAGCCCTTTCAAAGCGGCTCCGCGCGGCCTTAGCTCATTGCTGCAGAGGGCGAGGGAGTTTGCATTGGGTTGGCTTGGCTGCTAGCAACTGGATTGGATTCATTCCTTGCTGCTGTGAGTGCTGCTTGCTTCATTTGCTGTCTCCTGCCTGTGTTTGGTCCACATTTGGGCCATTTTTTGGTTAATTTTCCATTTTAAAATATTTTTTAATATTATTTTTTAATATTATTTTTTAATATTATTTTTTAATATTATTTTAATATTATTCTTAAAAATATTCTAAAAAAGAAAAGACTCTTCTGTTGGTGTGTGCTCTCATTTGCTGTCTCCTGCCTGTGTTTGGTCCACATTTGGGCCATTTTTTGGTTAATTTTCCATTTTAAAATATTTTTTAATATTATTTTAATATTATTCTTAAAAAATACAAAAAATATTCTAAAAATTCGTTAATATTTACAAAATTTCGTAAATACCAAAACTTTTTTGGGGAAAGTTTTGTAATTATTTTAAATATCGAAACAAAAAAACACCCCAATTACAAATCGATTTTAGAAACAAATTTTTTCTTGATCAAACAGGCGTAATAAATACTGCTCCGGCGGGAAGGTAACACTGCTCCATGCAGTCATGACCTTAGAGATGTCTACGGACAACGCTGGCTCTTCAGCTTAGAAGTGGAGATGAGCACCAACCCCCAGAGTCGGGCACAGCTGGACTTAATGTCAGGGGAAAACCTTTACCTTTACCTTTTTCAGGGGTTATTTGGTGTGCTGATTCAGAAAATTGCATCGGATAGTCAGCTCGAGGTTATTAAATATGGTTTTCTGTGGGCAAGCAGATGGCAACTACTGGATGACATATGTCCTTTATCAGAAACTAGAGCTGATGTGGTCTATCCAATGCAATTTTCTGAATCAGCACAGCAAATAACCAAATCAAATCTAAAGTTGACCAAAAATGATCTGTAAACCTTTTGGTATTAATGTTGGAGAATGGTCCATGATCAAAGTGGTCCCTGGTCAAAGAAAGATTGGGAACCACCACACTATGCCATGCTGGACCTCACTTATTGATATGTATGCTACTCCATAGCCACTTTTTAAAAATAACTCTGACATAGCTATTGGAGGGGAGCACACAATGGGGACATTGTACCCTAACAGGATTTCTGCCTTCCAATGAAAAGTTCTTTTATCAAATTTCTAGCATTGCAAAGAAATGAATAACTTAAAATTGCTCCTATAATTTTGATATTTGCTGTGTTTGTATTCCCTTAGTCACTTTGCCTGCCCTTTTTTCAAAATTGTAGTTTCAACTGCTCAATTGAAGTGTTAAGTTGCTGCAATGCTGGGAATTTGAGAGTTAAATAGATATTTCATTGGGGAAGGTGGCATAATTCTTCTTTGAAGGGGGCAATGCCCTCATTCTCTCTTCTCCGCAGCTGTACCCCTGTATGTTCAAAAGTGTTTTTGTTGTTGTTTTTACTAACATTCTTTTTTTTCTGTTCACATCCAGGCTGGTTAGAAAATTTCAGTTTAATGCTCATTACTTGTCTTTTATTGCCTTTGATTTACCATTCCTCCGCTTTGATGTTCAGTTCTTCAGTGCCATCTTCTCAATGCCCCCAAATGCATTGAAATAGTGCGAGTATCAACTTCCTGTTAGATTAGATGAGAATTAGATTAAACGCATTCTATTTAAGGAGAATGGATGTCATTTTTTTTCCATTTCAGGAGGTGCCACTTGAAACATTTATGTAATGTAGTGCGCAGCCACTTTCCCTTCCCCGTATAGAATTATATTATAAAGAAACGGAAGAAAATGCAAAGTCAAAACAGGCATTTTATGTTCCAATCAAACAAAAACTCCAGAATGCCTAATGGAATTTGTTGCCACAGAGTGCAGTGATGGTCACTAACTTGGAGAGCTTTAGAAAAGGATTTGGCATACTCTGAAACGAAAAAGAATTTGTCTAAATGTATGCGGCACTGAAGCAGATTAAGAAAGATTGATTCAGTTGCCTATATAATTATATATCTTCATCTACTCCCTTCTTCCTCTCCCAGTGCTTTCTGGGCTAGTTCAACTGCAATTCTAACATCAACCTCATAGTTATGCAGTTTCCTGGAAAGCTCTCTTTCTTGGAATAGCAGTCCTATTTCCTGGAATTACCACTTTGTACCCTTTTACAGATGAAAACTGGGAAATGTGAACAGTCAACATAAGAGTCTACTCAAGATGGCAAAAATTATCAATAGGAAAAGCAGTGAAGCTCTAACAGGCTGCAGCAGCTTGCTTTTGCCTGATTGTACTGGAAAGGACAGAAGTCCGCCATCTCTTATTTCTTCTACTGAATTAGATGAGTCTGAATCCAGTTTGCAGCAATGGAAATAAGCTGTTGACAAAGAGGGGAAGTGATATGAGGAACAAGAAACTAAGACTGCCGTTTTGCATCTAGCATCACAAGGGGTATATATAAGTTCTGAACAGTTTTGAAAGTTTCACACTCAACAAAGCCAGAAATTTAGGAATTTCATTTCCTCATAGATACACTTCTGACTCAAACTGCAGTGCATTACTTACTAGCTTGGGGGCCCGGCAATGCCCAGGATATTTGAGAAAGGCATTGTTTGTTTTGGGAAGTTTGGTAATATCTCTGGATGCAGGGTGAACTACAACTCCAGCACGAGCAAGTCATTCCCCCCCACCTATCCAGTACGTTGGCTGGGGATTAAGTGAGAGGCAGTAGGCGGGGTCATGCAAATTTGGAGAGAGAAAGGAGCCCTGGAATGTCCATTCTGGAGAAAAAAACAGAACATCTACGATGAAATGGTCCACAAATGAAAGTATTCCTTGGGTGTTTGGTGTTTGGGGAGGACACTGGCAAGGGTTGGGCTACATGTTCATGGTGCTCACTATAACCTGCAGTGTCAGTTGAGGGAGTGCCTTTGGATGCTTCTCAGCACTTGGAACTATAGCCTGTTTGTGGAGGCATGATGCTTTCTGTGTAAGTAACCACCTCCGCCACATACACACATTTTCACTTTAATTATGTGTATAGATAAAGCCAGAGCTAGAACTAGGATATTTGATTAGCTGCTTGTGGCATATCTATCTACCTTATTGCTAATTTGAGACCTTTTGTACATCTTGTAGCAATCAAAAAATCAGTTGGGATAACACAATATCTATTTTTTGCCCCATTCTTTTTTTCTCCATCCCTATAAGTTTGGAAAGATCCTCAAAAGTGTAGTTTTACAAGGTACTAAATATGAAGTGTTGATAATTGTGTTTTCTATGCCATATGTGTGTAGAGTCTTCTTTCATGATTGTTTATGAGTACTATTAAATAAAGGAGAGCTAGAGAAAACTGGAGAAGTCCACCAATTCATTTCACAAGTTTTCTCTTTAAAAAGTGATTCATAAAATTTTGCTCATCAAGAAACTAAATATAGAAATAGCCAACACATTTCCAAGATTTTATCTTGGGAAAGTACTTTTTAATTTTTGCATCATCATAAGGTTTGGGAAAGAA